AGAAGCGTGGTAGTAGGGATGCGCGTAGTCGTGTGGTTGCACATGAGCGTTCTCCAACACCTCCACCTGTATACAACTCCCGTGGCCGCAAAATCGCTCCTCGCAGAAAATTTGAGGCAGAAATATGATACTAGGACCTAGTAGAGTATTTCTGTGTTTTCTTACATGATAATTACTACTGTACGTGGTGCGGCAGCCTCAATTTTGGTGGAGCTGTTTTTGGTGGTTCGGCGCATTGCGCGAATCCGCGCATTCCGCGCACGGACACAGTATGCGGAGGATGGCGGGATTATCGCGAGTTTGATCTATGAGGCGCGAGTTTTGCTTTGTAGCTGCGAGGGCAGAGGGGAGGGTGAAAGTTATGGACGGCCACATTTTGGCCATGAGAGAGTTTGAGAAGAGTAGATAGCGGAGTCCTTTGGCGTTTCTGTTGGAGACGGCGTGGCAGATTTCCATGGTGTATTTTTTGCGCAAGTCATCGGTCACGGCTTCATCCTCGAGATTCAAAACCGCGTCCACAAGATCTCTCAGATACTTGATGGCTGGTAGCGAATCATGCTGCTGTCTGCGGAGGACTTCGTTTCCGATTATGGTGCTGCCATGTTGCGCGAAGAGTTTGTCAAAGCGTGCATTGTCAATAGCAATGGTAATGTGACGGTCTGCCGGGTCCCCCAGTTTGCGTCTATCTTCGGAATACGCGATGAGTGGTTGGCGCTTGAGGATTTGCTCTTGGATTTCATGTGCAAATAGCCCTATACAAGTTAGCGGGCCATATACTTATAGTGTTTTAATAAAGGTACTAGTACGGCAAACAAGGCGATATTGTGAAGCAAAAAGTGGGCCGACATCACTAACAAGATACTCGAAGATGCGCTCCACAAGTTCGCAGGGAAGTTCGATGATTTTCATGCTGGGTTGGTGTCTTCGTCCAAGATGATGTATATGTGTGTTGCATAGTGGTTAGCTAAGACAGCCCGATGGCGGGGCACATGACCTGGTCCCTTCCCAGCCTTGCTCAACTGACCGATCATGACTGATCATTACAAAGCGTTGAGGGCCGAATACTCATGGTGTAAGGGATTACCTTCCGAATTCGCATTTTGCTTATTTCGGGGTACATCGTGACATATTTAGCCGCATAGAAAACACACCAAGAAGTGTCTGTTGCGCGAAGAGATGCCATGTGATTTACATCAAGAGTTCCTATGTACTGCTTTAGTACGTTTCATCGATGCCAAGGGAGTCATAGGCTGCATGCATGCATCTTGGGGAACCAAAATAGCTAGATAAAAAGTGCCCATTCCACGCCAGTGCAACTCCTTAATAACACCGACACTATGCACTGCATAGCTACAAAAACCAAGAAAATGAATGAAAATATACTAAATGACATATGTGGCCACTTTTCAGATTTTACGAACACATTTATAGTGGCTTTTGCTATTAGTCAAGCTAATAATAAACGCAGTTTTTATTCGGCTACTTACTTCCTCAAAACCCATGTCAGGCTAGCGTCTTCTCCACGTGAAGAATACCAATACTTGCAACCACAAGGTAATCGCAGATTACCATGAGGGTGGTGTCTTCAGCCTTTAGGAAGTCGAGTTATTTGAGAGTATCAGGGCTTTATAGAGAGAGAAATTGACTTCGATATTTAGTGGTGACTGGGCAAGGCAAATAGAGCTTGAAAGGGGTCACTTCTCTTGGCCTTAACGTGTCTTTGCTCCGAGTTTCACGATATACGATGCAAAGTATAACACGGAAGCGGAAGAGCTAGAAGGCCCAGAGAATCTTCTAGAGGGCGGTGAGACAGTCGCTTGTAATAGAAGCTGAAAATAAGGTTTCTCAATAATATCATCGTTTAGTTTCGCTGGCTGTACGAAACTCAATATCATAAGTTACAGCTTCTAGCGCATTCCTGATATGAGCTTCGAGAGACAGCGCTGAACATACTTTCGACTATACGAGCAATTTGTCCATTACTCGCTTGTGGAAGCCACTACCGCATAGCTAGTCTACCCACTATCCAGTAGGAAAACGGCTGGCGCACTAGGTGATACCACCACAGAACTTTAGTGATTAGCGCATGCGCTAGAAGCGGATAGCCGTAAAGCGTCCAACGACAGAATAAGCTTTCGTCGAATAAATCTCCACAGGGAAGAATTAGCTTGTCCAGACCAGATTCTAGGATATGCCCCGCGATGCACTTGGGATCGGGCCGTCTGAGCTCAGCGAACTGTGGATTGAACGGGATCTGCCTATCCAAGATTCGCATTATCAAAAAACAACTTCATAGGCATTCATCCACACAATCGCAGTGATATTGAGCATCCCACTGTTAATCCACTTTTTGCATCTGAAAGCTTTATCCATCAACGCTTAATCTGGCATAATACATCTGAAGATGACAGTAGCGGTGTGGCTACGACATCTATCTTGTTATGTACTGTGAATGCGATCAACACGGCCTTAAACTCAAAACTACAGGGCTGGGATTTGGTTTCTGACGTTTCAATTTTGTATGATTTGGTCGGTGGTAACCTGGAGATGGTGCAGTCTTGTTGAAATTAAACAGCCTGTGCGCCTGAACTTTGCTTCGGTCATGGACGGATGAAAGATGATAGGTAATCGGGCATGATGCAAGCAGGATCGATTTGCGTTTTCGATCTTTGATATGTAGAATTTGAGCTACACTATCAGTACACAACCTTAGGCTGCTACGAAAATGAGACAATGTACACTTGGCTTTGTATTACAGGAGGGCTGATATGCAAAGTTTTGACATTTGAGTGCACTGGATAGACAAAACGTCAGTGTCAAGATGTCATAGCGTCAACAGTACGATCAGGCACTTCAACGCTAGAAGAAAATTACTGTAGTCCTCTAGAAGCGGTGAATTAGTTCTACAAGCTCGAACATCAGATCAAATTACGGATATGGAAGAGGCAGAAGTGAGTACTTAAACGGAAGAAAGGACCTCTCTTTTAGAAGCATCTCAGACATCATCTCACAGTCACTGATTCAGTCACTCACTCACTCAACAATTTTCCACTCTTTCTACCACACTCATTTCAACGCCAGACCCAGTCTAACCCCTTCACCCTTCCAAAATGGTTCAAATCACTTCCCTCTTCACCCTCTTCGCCATGGGCGCCTCTGTCTTCGCTATCCCGATGGTTAACGTCGACACCATATCCGTCGAGCAGGGCCTAGCCCTCCAGTACGTGCACTCCCTCCTTCTATCCTAACTCCCACTAATCCCCAACCCAGCGCCACCAACGACAACGTTGTCAACGTCGCTCGCTCGCCCGCCGCCGGCGCAGCTGTCGCTGCCATCGCCCCTGTCGTCATCGACATCGCCACTCGCGTCGTCCAGATGATTGACAGCATAAGGGACGACATCGAGGTAAGCCCCCCGCATCTATCGCCTCTTATATCATAAGAAAACGTATCTAACGAGCAACCCCTTTCCAGCGCCGCAAGCAATTCACCCAACGTGTTGTCTCCGAAGTCCACGCCCGCTACCCGGGCTTCAACGTCGTCGTCTGCAACGTCGGTTACAAACTCGAGGGCTCCGGCTACCAGAATGTGGTGTCTACGAAGTACCGTGCGGCGGTTGGCGCGGACGTTACCTTCGATGTTGTGTTGTTTAGCTCGCCTAAGACGTTTACTCGCCAAGGTGATGGCGGGTTCCAGAACGTGCAGATGAATTCGAAAGATAAGAGGAAATTGACTAACGCGTGAATAATAGTGGGCTTACCTTGTTGGCAAGCAGTGCCGTACTAATGGTGGATTCATTGACTGCCCCAAGCGCGGTTAGGGGATGAGTGTGTGAGGGAATCAGCGGGCTTTGATGCATGTAGATTTTATGAGTATAGAGTTTTAGAGATCTGGTCCTGGAGAGGATTCCTTGAGTTAGGGAGAGCAGGTGCTCGGACTTTTAGATAGCTAGATTACTTTCTTTTTCTGCTGGAGTAGAGTGAGAGCGGTGGGCTCCTAGGTAATTACCTTCTCAATTACATAATCTTTTCGTTTTGCATTCCTATAAAGACTGGTTGCATTTTCTTCCCAAATTTTGCAATGTGTGGATTGATTTGGTATACTTGTTTGAATATAACTACACGTCCACCCTGCCACACTACAACAACCCAAAAACGGTAGAACTCTAACTCCATTCCGGCTGTTTCCAGTTCCATCACAAACCTTCCAATTCCATCACCAAATCAGTGCTGAGAACATCGTATTACTTGCCACACGCACATCCATTGGCAAGCCCGCAAACATAGCGTTACATAATGAACAATTGATTCTCGAAGAATCCAACATGACATCGTTTTTGATTTGACCGTGTTTCCCCCATGGATTTATCGCATGAATGCAAAGACAACAGACCCGCTTTTGTGTATGCAGTTATATAAGGTAGAAGGTATTCAGGGAGCTGGTTGCACAGTCGCCTATTCATGAAATAGAGTATGGTATCAGCATTACAGACATACTCATATCGTCTCAATCTCACAGAATATCTCTGCTACTCAAGGGATGAATGTGATAACCAAAGGAAGTTATTATTCTTGAATGTGGACATATCCCACCGTTTCCTTATTGTATAGGGGAGCTTAAATGCAGAGTGGTGCAGATCAGGTCCTCTTGTCAAGAAACAGTGCATTCCCAAAGCATCTTTTAGACCCCTGATGCTCCCAATGTGACAAGTTGCCATCCACGGGCTCAACAAGCCAGATCCTGCCAACTGTATCTAATCATCCAAACCCAACCACACTATATGCTTCTTCCCTTTCTTGTCTACATATGTGTCCCGAAACTGCAAGTGCCGGATAGACTCAACGCCTTCATTCTTTGCTTTCTCAATGAGCATCTCACACCTACCCCACCCGTTGGAACCAGCGATGCACCAAGCTTCATCGTATATAGGTTTTGTGAAAGAGCTTCCTCCATGAACGAGAAGAAACTGAACGTCTCGATAAAACCCGTGTTCGGCCGCAAACATTAGTGCTGATTCGCCAGTCCCATTTCTTGACTTTGCGTTGACATCCGCACCGTTCTCAATCAAGACGCGAGCAAGATCGTAACGCTTGTTCCTCAAAGCCAGCATGAGAGGTGTGATGTTTGTTCTGGCGGAGTAATAAGGGCTGTGCGTGTTTGAATCCACAATCTTGTGCTTGAGAAAGAACTGCAGGGTCTTGGTACCACCGTAGGTGTAGAGATGATGATAATCGTCAGAACCGAGGATCCAGTTCTTGACTGCACAGCATACCGAGGTAATAAAGCATCCGTATCTGATATGGAAAACTCTTGGGAGCAAGTCAAGATAGCCATATTCCATACAATATTCGAGTAGATCATCCGCGAAATTGGTTGGAGTTGACAGCAAGAGCATCTTGTTGCCGATTATACAATCGAACAAGAAGTGTGCGGTCCTTGGTTTGCGTAATTTAATGGCTAGTCGTAATGAGCTAATGACTGCGAGAGCAACGTCGGATACCTTGCCTTGACCCAGGGCACTATCACTTCCTGCTTTTCTGAGAAGACACTTAATAATTATAGACAGAGATCTGACGCATTCGGAGATTGTTGCAGCCTCGAGGGCGTTCGGTAATGCTTTGTATGCACGTTCAAGCAGGTCCGAGCTGGTATTAGCGTGCTGAACCAACGCTTCAGAGTCGTTAAGTGCTGCTGCAATGGCGGGCATGATAGCTTGTATCTTTGGGATTCGTACCAACTTGCTTGAGTCCTTTTTGCCTTGGAGCCATGACTCGAGAGATACAGGCCACAATGCGATTAGCATAGTCCATACTTTAAAAGTGCACTAAAACCGTAGTAACTTCTACCCTTTTCCCGTTCTTAGACCCTGCAATAAAGTAAAGTCTATATATATTCGAATAAAGTTCAAAATAGTATTATCTTTGTCTACGCGGCGAACAGTCTACTTAGTAAGGAAAAGAGCCTAGTAGGAACAAAGGATATTCTTAAGTTGTTGGCTTCTAAAGATCTTATAGAGAGGTACCCTAGCAGCCTGCTCGTATATCTCTGCGGTAACGTATCTCTTGAAAGTTTCTAGACTTCTCAGAATCATTGTCCTGGCGTTTGGGAATATCTTTATCAAACTTACTGCACACTCCACGATACTTGACAGCATGCTTCAGCTCTTGTGAGCCAACTAGAAAACCAGTAATACCTTCGAATATCTCGGGCAGCAGTTCCAGTAGAGGCATTCTTGCGTTAGGGCTGTGGTGAGTGGACTGGAGAGATAATGCGACGGAGATGAAAGATTAACTGAGAAGGAGCGATACCACGTGACGCGATATACACAATATTACCTTAGTTCTGACGTCACCAAATTCACCTTCACTTTATATTGACTATTCTAGCATACCAGGTGTACGAGCAGGAGCGGTTATGGTAGAAAGATCCTGGCTCACTTCCATTCCAGATATTGCCGACACATCGCAAAGCAGCGAAATGATGCGGAAGCCAAGCACACTATTAGAGTCAATCCAAGAGTTCCAGGATACGCAGTGTAGCCGGTCACTTTTCTTTCTGGCAATGTGCTTAGCTCCACCCTTTACTCCCGTGCTCACGGCTACCGATCGATGCAGGAAAAGGTTTAGAATCAGCAATACCTTCGCCTATAGGATAAGGACGCGCTGGTCAAGTTCCTAGTGCAGCTTTCTGACCAAATTGAACCAGTGTAAGAAAAAAAGCAGCCTCGGAAGAGCCCTGCGAAACTGTTGAGTGGAATAGAGTGTGTAGGCGCTGAATGGCCCAATAACAATCGATGCAGGTATTATGACGAATAAGCGCGGGCAACCTGTCCGCAGCTGCAGCCACCAAACAGCCATGAAGCTGGCACACAGCCACAGCCGGGCCAAGATTGTCGTGTCAGCCCTAAGCCTCTCCAGCCTGCTTTCTGTTGCCTTGACAAGGTTTCTCACTTGAAAGCCTGCCACATTGTGCACCACCTCTTACATACGACTGCACCCATTCAGCGCCAACATATCTCATTCAATGCGCCTTCTCAAGCGTAATGAAAATGGCACAATCATCATGGAAAGATTCAGTGACGGGCTGGCGCCTCCTTATGCAATATTGTCACACACGTGGGGCCAAGACAACGACGAAGTAACCTTTGCGGATATCGTCGATGGGAAGGGGAAGGACAAGGCTGGTTACAAAAAGATATACTTTTGCGACATTCAAGCACAAAGTGATAGTCTACAGTACTTCTGGATCGATACATGTTGCATCAACAAGGACGACAAGGCTGAGCTCTCTCAAGCTATCCAGTCCATGTTTCGTTGGTACCAGAACGCGAAAACATGCTATGTTTATCTATCAGACGTAGAGAAAAAGAAGGAAAAAACCAAAGACACAGCGGATGGACACGATTGACAGGCTATGTTCAGGTCTAGTCGCTGGTTTACTCGTGGCTGGACACTCCAAGAGCTGATCGCACCGTGCACGGTCAGGTTCTTTTCCAAAGAAGGGGATAAACTAGGTGACAGATCTTTGTTGCGATGCTTGATCAACAAGATAACAAGCATTCCTCTTGAAGTGCTTGATGGAGGTGGATTGTCTCAATTCAAAAACGATGAACGGCAGCGATGGGCAAACGACAGGAATACAAAGCTTGAAGAGGATAAAGCATATGCTTTATCAGGTCTTTGCGGTGTACACATTGCGCCTGTGTATGGGGAGGGTAAAGAGGAAGCGTTTAGACGACTTCGCCGTGAGATTGAGAAGTTGGAAACCTGCATTCGTCATTTGCGCGATAGCGATCCTCGTAACGACAAAAGGCGCATCGAAGAAACGAAGGGCGGTTTGCTGTTTGACTCATAGCACTGGGTCCTAGATAATCGCACCTTCCAGCAGTGGCAGCACGATCGTACAAGCCAACTGCTCTGGGTGAAGGGCGATCCTGGTAAAGGCAAAACGATGCTGCTATGCGGCATAATCGACGAGATACAGAAGGATGTCAGACGGAATACGGTCGCGTACTTCTTCTGCCAAGCAACGGATTCGCGCATCAATAACGCCGTAGCGGTTCTGCGAGGACTGCTATATATGCTTTTAGATCAGCAGCCGCTCCTAGCGCGGCACGTCCTAAAGCAACACGAGCATGCAGGCAAATGGCTATTTATGGATGCGAATGCATGGGTAGCACTAAAAGACATATTCAGAGACGTCCTTCAGGATCCAAACCTTGGCAGGACATGTCTTGTTGTCGATGCCCTAGACGAGTGCATCGTCGATCTACCAAAGCTACTAGATTTTGTGGCTATACAGTCATCAAAATCTGGGCGCGTGAAGTGGATTGTGTCTAGCCGCAACTGGCCTGACATTGAAGCACAGCTAGAGCGGGCAGGACACAAAATCAAGCTGAGTCTTGAGTTGAATGCAGATTCGATAGCCACGGCGGTTGACGCCTTCATTGAGAAAAAGGTGAAAATTTTAGCTTCTGAGAAGCAGTACACACCAAAACTACAGCTAGAAGTGCTTCGACATCTGACTTCGAACGCTAACGACACTTTTCTGTGGGTGGCGCTGGCTTGTCAGAATCTGGAGAAAACCTCTAAAAGGCATGTACAGAAAAGACTCACCCAATTCCCACCTGGTCTGGACGCTCTTTATGAGAGGATGATGAACCAGGTTGGTGTATCAGAGGATGCCGACACCTGTCTGCAAGTTTCAGCATTGGCTGCAGTTTCCTATCGACCTATAACCATCTCTGAGCTAGTCACTCTAGCCGAAAAAGTTCAGGAGAATGCTGACGACGTAGAGGAGATCGTCTCTTTTTGTGGGTCTTTCCTCACGCTGCGAGAAGGCATTGTTTACTTTGTGCATCAATCAGCCAAGGACTTTCTGCTCACCAAAGCAGTCTCGCAGATCTTCCCAGGCGGAGTAGAGGTTGTTCATTGTTCGGCCTTCTTGAGGTCCATGGGGGCCTTGTCTAGTACATTGCACAAGGACATCTATGAACTCAAAGAGCAAGGAATTGCTAACGACGACGTCGATATACCTGCTCAAGATCCTCTCGCATCTGTACGATACTCTTGCACTTACTGGGCTGACCATCTCTGCGACTCGAATCCTGACTGGTCCGCTAATGCAGAGAAGCCGAAACTCATAGCTACAATCGAGGGTTTTTTCAAGGTGACATATCTACACTGGATCGAGGCGCTGAGTCTATGTCAGAGCGTAGAAAAAGGCGTCGTAGCCGTTGCTAAAGTGCTTCAACTGGTGCAGGTATGGCTGAGGGTAACGACTCATAGCCAGTATGCTAACAAGGCCAGAATGACCAAGGTTTAAGTGAACTTGCCTTACTCATCTATGATGCATGGCGTTTCATCATGCATCATAAGAATATGATTAAAAGATGGCCACTACAGATATACACGTCGGGTATACTATTCAGTCCTAGAAAGAGCATTATCAAAAATATCTTCAAATCCCAAGCACACGGATGGGATATCCAGCCAGATTTAGAACACGACTGGAGCGCGTGTCTGCAGACACTTGAGGGGCATTCGGATCGAGTCAACTCAGTAGCATTCTCGTCTGATGGAGCGAGGTTAGCGTCAGGATCAGACGATAAGACTGTCAAGATATGGGACGCGCATAGCGGGCAGTGCCTGCAGACTATCGAGATACACAGTAGTCGGATCGAATCAGTATCATTCTCGCCTAATGATACAACAAGAGTATCGTTGAAATTATACAATAGAACAGTAAAGATCTGGGACTTGTATAGCGGGGAGTGCCTACAGACGCTCTGGGGTCATACAAGTCAGGTCGACTCAGTGGCCTTCTCGTCCGATGGAACTAGGGTGGTATCGGCGTCACAAAGCCAGATTAAGATCTGGGACTGGCACAATGGGCAGTATATACAGACTCTTGAGGTGCATAGCAGATGGGTCAACTTGGCAGCCTTCTCAGCAGATGGGACGAAGTTACTTTCACTATCAGATAGCACGACGATTATGATCTGGGATGCGTATAGTGGACAATTTTTGCAGAAACTCGAAGGGCATGAAGAGTGGATCAACTCGGCAGTCTTCTCGCCTGATGGAATGAGGTTGGCTTCGGCGTTAGGAAACAAGACAGTCAAGATCTGGGACGCACAAAATGGACATTACTTACAAAAGCCTGAGAGGAATTTGGATTTGGTCGACTCAGTAGCTTTCTCGTCCGACGGAGCGAGGCTGGTGTCGGCGTCAACTACCGGCATCAAGATCTGGGATGCGTATAGTGGGCAGTGGCTGAAGACACTCAAGGGGAATGACTTTGCGTTCAAGTCAGCAGCCTTCTCGCTCGATGGAACGAGGCTGGTGTCGGTGTCAAGCGATATTAAGATCTGGGATGCGTATAGTGGGCAGCGCCTACAGACGCTCAGGGGGTATGGGAATGGGATCATATCAGCAGCCTTCTCAGCCGATGGAACACATATCATTTCCGGTAATGATCGTTTTCACCTTGATGCCTCCACTGTTGGCACCACTAACAACATCATCGATATTGGCCACTTACACGATATCGATACAGATATAATCTTATCCAAAGAGTGGGTCTCAATAAGAGGAAAAAATATTCTCTGGATTCCTGAAGGGTTTCGCGGTTCTATGTTCGCTGTCAGGAACAACAAGACTGCAGTTGCCAAGTATTTTGGTAGAATATGGATATGCACTGTTGGTTCGTCACTTTGAGCTCTTCAGAGAAAAGAAAATCTTCGTTATCAATCTCAATCACGTCCTTTGCCTTCTTCTTTTCTCTCTCCAAACTTGTTCTCCACAAAGGGGCATGAATATACAATTACATATCCTCAATATACCCAGTAAGGAGCCTAAAGAAGGTATCAGCTCAACCATATCACTGGATACACACAAAAGTAAACAAACAACCTCGAAGCCGACATCTCCAACTAGCCGGCACGTGTAAGAAACTTCCAGAAGCAAACCGTATGCGCCACAGCCTCAGTCTCACGAGATAGCATATTAGGCGTGACCCGCAATACTTTGCATGAGCTTCGTGCATACGGTAGCACGCTACCCCAAACTACCTAAACACTGATACCCCGTTAAACCGCACAGCTACTTGAACAAATTTCCACGATCCTGCCATATGCGCGGAGAAATTGCCGAAATGCATATTTCCTTACTTCAAGTCAACCCTCACAGCCTATAGGGCACTCCCTCATTGCCGTCAGAAACACAATTTCCTTAGTGTTGGAAGCTCGCAAAATACTTGCGATAGGATAGGCATACATTACATCTTTCTTCTTAAAGGGTGCGCTGGACAACGATTAGGGGGTTTGAAAGAAAAACGTGTGGAATCATACTAGGTGTGGGAGTACGCTTGAATTGACGGGATATGGACTTGGATTTTGCTTCTTCTCCTTCTCCTTCTCCTCCCCGCCTAACATATCACACCCACGCTCCGCCAATGCGCTCAGTCCCCCCTTCCCCTACTGGCAAATAAAAATGTGACATGATACATTTTCGCAAGGAAATGTCTCCAACGTCACTTCAACCATTCGTATTCACACCGAGGGGTGGTACAAGTCACACACACACACACACACACAGCCGAAGCTTGCACGTGAACAAAACTGAGGCCCATAATCCAGTGTGGTAATTGGTAGTGAAACACACATGTGTCTAAAACAATGAGGTAGCTATCTGAAATCTAAAAGAACACTTATATCACAATACAACCCCTTAATCCATCTACCATACATGCCCCTTACTCTGCTTAATCTCCTTAACATTAATGTTCCTCCACAGGAAAATCCCCACCGCAGCCACGACCCACAGCCCCGTCGCAATCGACAGGAGCCTCGTAAATGCATCTTGATACGCATGCTGAATCGCCAGACGCGTGGGGGACCCCATTGGAAAAGCCAGTTGGGTCGTGATATCACTGTATATCATAACCAAGTTCGGCAAGTCGTCTTCCGGTAGATACCGCATGAGGCGCGAAGGCAGAACATCCGTCCAGACAGATGCAGCAATGGTGTATCCGATTGCGCCGCCAATGTTACCGAAGATACTGACGATGGCGAGCATGGACGCGACATTGTCGTGGGAGCCAGCGGAGAGAATGGCGATTTCGTCGGTGATGATGAGGAGGCCTTGGGAGATGGAGATGAAGAGGAAGCACATTACTATATACCCGATATTTCCAGGCGCCAGAAAGTGGATCATGAGGCCTTGCCCGAGGATGCTGAGGGGCAAGCCGACGACGATGGAGATGAGTTTGAAGTGGCCGGTGCGGTGGATTACGTAGCCGGCGGAAAGAGCGACGAGGACGTTTAGGACTGTGAAGGATTGAGTGACGTAGCTTGCGTTTTTCACGCTGAGACCTTGGACAACTTGCAGGTAGGACCCGAAGTAGCTGTTCCAGACGAAGTAGCTGGCAAAGAGCGAGGTGCAGAGGAGACAGGCGCCCAGGACGGTGCGGTCGCGGAGGAGGCGGTAGGGGAGGAAGCAGACAGGGGCGAAGAAGCGTTCCCAGATGATGAAGAGGATCATGAGGACGATGCCGACAACGAGCATGCTTATGACTAGCGGTGATGACCAGCCTCGACCTTGGGTGGTGTAGAGGTTGAAAGGTAGGAGGAACAAACCGACACCAGCTGAGAGCAGAATGAGACCGACAGCGTCGAATTCGCGGCTGTAGTGCATGATGGACTGCACCGTACTGCGCCCACTGTTGCGCTCAGGAATAAGACCAAGATGCTGTGCCTTGCGGTAGTTGGCGAGAAGAAGGCCATACAATGGCAGCACAACAGCCGGTACAAGGATGCAGAACATGCCAAAAGCCCATCTCCATCCCGGTCCCCCAAGAAACCCTTCAGCAACAGGTCCAGCAATCCATCCCGTTATCAGCGCCGTCGTATTCATAAGCGCCTGCATCAACCCCCGATTCTTCAGCTTCGTCGTATCGGCAATGAAGACCGACATGATGTACTGAATCCCATTGTTGCCGACAGTATGGAAAATCATAGCAGCAGCGTACGCTTCAACGCCATTGCAAGCAGCCATCATAATCAACCCCATAGTTCCGAGGCCCAGACAAAAGAGGAGACCGGGTGGCCGACCAAAGACGTCGATGACTTTAGCAATAGTAAGGTTTGTAACGCCGCCAATCACACTGCTCAAGATACTGACAGTGGGTGTGAGCGAGTGTGCGAAGAAAGCTGAAGTAACGTATGGCAACAAGGCAAGTGCGGTGCCTCCCAGCAGTGTCTCGACGAAGTAGATCAGCCAGAGCATGATGTACGCAACGATAAGACTCGTCTTTGTCCACGCCATGGTCGTAGCTTCGATAGCCTGCACACCAGCCTGAGCATCGCGATCCGGATGCTCCTCCGTGCTATCATCGTTGAAAGGCGAGTTAGCCTCGTGTCGCTCCGAACTGACAACTGTCGGCCGACCATTCTTGGTCTCGTCCGCACCACCCGCAGACATGTTGGAGGACGGCGATAAAAGAGGCTCTTCCTCAATGGAAGCACGAGAGTTCGAAGAAGAAAAGGAATGCGAATCCCCGGTGTAGAATGGGGATGGTGAGGTATACACCATTCCTCCAGCACCACCTAGCTGTCCCTTTTTAATATAAAAAAAGATAGTAACGGGTTTGAGCAAATAAGCGAAAAGGGAGGGGACGGGGTGCGCTTGAACATAACTTGTTAGGATAAGTGAAGTGGGGGCGGGAAAGGGAATGGGGAATACAGAGCCAAGGAGGTATGCAGGCGCAGGTGCAGACGCAGTGGGTCCCCCGGTGTTGGTAGGAATGAGCACATTTGCGAGTGTTGTGGCGCAAATCCCTGCTTGTGCGTCTGTATGTGGTGAGCCGGCGCAGTTGTAGCGGGAAACGTGCCTCATGTCTATTCTGCGCCGTGCCTCGCGTATTGTGCATGAGATAAATAATGGGCCAGTGATGTGTGCTTACTTCGGAGTTTCGTGGCCACCCTTACTGTACGCCTGACGGGGCGTCGTATATGATAAGCTGGTTGTCAGCTTTGTCTGGGTTCCCCCTCCAAAGCTTGAGTTCCTTGTCCTGAACGATTTATATTGCGATAATATATTTTGCATACAAAAATCACCTAAAGAGAGAACAAGTGCATAGCCCGAAACCAGAAGTACTCTACAGTGGAGGGTGGGGTGAAACTGTCCGAAATGCAAGTTGAAAAGTATAGAAACTAGATACCAGCCTGTGTAATACTCCGTTCGCCACTCTAAATCCAAAACCTCTACATTAGCAACTGGCCACGTCGACCAGATGGGCGTACTTTGTGAACTCCTCGTCACGTGCAAGCATCTCCCGTTCCTCAGGGAAAGTACCCAACGCCAACTCAACTCCACCATCCGCCTTCAGTGGATATACTACCAAAAACCTAAATCGTCCACTGCCTCGTTCAAGTTGAGGCCTCATTGTCTCTGGAGAGCCGCCGTTGGCGAAGTAGCGACCACCAAAATCAATCTCACTCATCTGGAACAGCATCATATTGGAAATCATGGCGTGCATATGGTTGAGACCCATGTTGGCCGTAGAAAACCTCGAGTGATCTGGCAGTGATTGCAGCAGAGTGAAAGCGTCGTGTACCAACGAAGGCGTCATACGTGCTGCGGAACTACGCAACACTTGCGCAATGTGCAAAATACTGGTTCCCTGGTTGCAAAGCTTCTCTATCGGCATACTGGTGCGATTGAGCGTAAGCAAGCTGCCCATATAGGTAGACGGAAGCAAAGACGAAAAGTATGGTCGACCGTCAGTGGGCAACTCCAAGATCGAGCACTCATCAGCATCAAATTCCCGACCACTGTTCTTGGCTACAGAGTAGCGGGCCCTCAGTGCTGAGCGCCAGAAGAATGCTTGAACAATGTCGCTGATGGAAGGCACAGAACTGCTGAGTCCCGACTCTCTCGCTACATCTTCTTTCAACAATTGAACCTTCTCGGGAGGAATGAGAAACAAAGTCGTTTCCAGCTTCCGCTCTGCGACGGGCAGTGGCCATATCGAGTGTAGGGGATATTTGAGCAGCGATGTTCCGGATGCGGTTTGTTCTGAAGAATGCTTCGCGAGAGCTTCATCTGATGGAACAAACGGTAAAAAGTTCCATACACTGGGATCGATCTCCTTGACCGGTCTCGCATATCCCTCCAGTTCATGAAGAACTTCAGGAAGGTTGTGATTGAAACTCTCTGCATCGAACCAGTCGCAGGAGGCCGAGCCATCCCCTTGCAGATTCTTACAGTTCTCAGCCCATGTTTTGACAGCAAGGACGGCTCCAACTCCGTCTAGGCAGCAATGATTCAGATCGACAGCCAGAATGCATCCACCCTTGACAAAGTTGGCTTGCGCAACAAGTATGTCTGCGGGTAGCTGTGGGAAGGTATCCTGCCTCAACACCTGCTCATCCTTGAAGGCGGAAGGTACAAATCCGCCATCTCGCAGAGTCTCGAAAGATGGAAGCTCGTTGCTCAGATCCTTGAACACTAGACGTTGACGTGCTGGAGAGCCAAAAGGTGGTACTGAAACGCATAGATCACCTTTTGTGAAGCCAACTTCTTGCTCTGAGCATTCAATCATTTTACCTCCAAGAGCAGGGATAAGCTCCAGTGTCTTGTCGAGTCCCGCCTGCAGATTGGCAAAAGTCTCCTCGAAGACTGCATCTGCGCGAAGAGGGAAGTAGAACATGAGTCCCATGTAGTGATTGGGATTGACGTAGTCGAAAGGATTAAGTCTGAAAGACTGATGCGCTTTACGCCGCGTGAGCAACTGTTGCATCTTTGCTTGTTGACTATGCACCTGCCGCTTCGCAACGGTAGTGCCTTCTTCTTCAGCTATCATTGACTCAAGCGCAGCGTTGAACCTTGCTAGGGTAGGGTTTGCATAGAGATGGCGGGGAGCGAGTTTGCTCAAGCTCTTGGTCGCTGCTCGGATCGCATTGACGGCTGCTGACACTCCAAGCGAGTCGAGACCAAGTGTAAACAAGTCATCGTCGGCAGAAGCGTCACGAACGGCGGGTTGAGACGACGCAAGAATTTCTCGAATGGAATTCTGCATGGCCGCTGTAGAACTGGTATCAACTATGAAGCTAGTCTCCTGTTCCCGAGAGTTATAGAATCTCTCAATGTAGTCTTCATAGAGAACCAAGGTAGCTTTGCGCTTGACCGTGCCTTTGTCAGTACGAACAAACGGCTTGTCCGGTTGAGCAAAAGCAACATAGTCTCGTGATAATTTCACGGTAAGCCGCGACGATGACATGGATGTCTCAATATGAGACCAGATACTCTCTGTCATTTCTTCGTTCTTTGAAAGAGGGTCCTTCAACTCTATGAGGAGTCCAGCTTGAGCCTTGTTGCTGCCCACAACCAGACATCCATTGATCGCAGGATGCGTGCCAATGAGAGCCTCAATTTCAAGGGGCAAGATCTTGTATCCGTTAGATAAGATGATCAGGTCGTCGTTACGACCATTGAAGGCCCACAGATTTGGCTTCTCTGGATGCCGTCGGTACAGATCCTTGAAATTTACAAAGGACTTGTCGGGGAATGTATGAAAGATGCCCTGGAACAAGGATGCATGCTCATTGCGGTATACCCAGTGCTCAAAGACCCCTGGTTCTACTTCCTTGAACTCAAATCCAGAGTAAGGGTGAAAAGCGAACCAAGACCAGTCCTCTCTATCTACCACAAGGTTGCCGATGAAAAGCCCTTCTGTCGTTCCAGTAAGGTTAAGTACTCTGATGACGTTGTTGACCTTCCCAGCACTCGAGAGGGTGACCGGACCGCCAGATGCGCAGATAAACTTGGACGGTGATGACTGGAACTTGGCCAACACATCCGGTGTCTCTCCGAGCTCATCGACAAGCGAAGGAACCATGCTCCATATGTTGATTCTGGAGGTTTCAACGAGCTTCTCAATCAGTGAGATATTTGGGATGACACCAGCTGGCCCAAGGACGCAGTGAAGGCCAAAGAGGGCGGGCATCAGAATGTCCATAATGATTCCGGCGCCATGACACATGGGAAAAGATGAGTATATCGAGTCGCCCTCCTTCCAGTCAGCAGTCCAAGGGACCATGCCATCAACCGGCGGCAGCAAACGGACTGCATCCATTGTTCCAATGAGTCCGTGAGTCCATGGAATGGGCTTTGGAACGCCTGTGGAACCTGACGTGTGGAGATAACAGAAAGGTTCAGTGGAAGCCACATTAAAAGTCTTCGTGTAGGGAAATGGCTTGGTACCCTTTGCGTCCAAGAGGTGATCAAGTAGTGGAATTTCGAGTAACTTCATCTGACGTTTCTGCAGGACATCTTCGACAAGAGGTACCATTGCTACTTCGCTTGCTTTGGCCCAGATTTGGCACTGAGTTGCTTCTAGCACGGCCAATGCTCCTTCGGTACTGTTCTTAGGAGAAAGGTAAAGGGCAGCATAACCCACTTTGACGCAAGCATAAGTAATTAGAATGTGACGTAGATCATGGGGGCCGATGTAGCCAATAGGCTGGACCGATGCTGACTGCCCAACCTGTTCTTGAAGCCACCAAGCTGTCTTGTCAACAGCTTCTACAAAAGCTTTCGCAGATATTTCTTTGAACTCTAGGGATTCGTTTGACGCGCTTGCAATAGAGAAGATAATGCGTTCAGGGTCTACTGTTGCTAGTTGGTCCATGATTTGAGGGATAAGTCTTCGCCCGTACGATATCTCATCAGCATCGCTGAGCGATAGAGCCTGAGTAGGTTTGACGTTATCGCTAGATTCACTCCAGGAAATGCGCGGTGAATGAACATGAGATGTAGGCGGAGTCGAGAAGCCACTTCGCAATGACATCGCGCTCGGGGAAGAATACCCACTCTTGGTGCCGTCAAAAAGCTTCGGAGCCTGAAGATAGCTTGCCGTTGTCTCGTTGATCTCGGCAAATTCTGCTGTTTGTGACTGTTCTTTGAAATAGCTGGGTCGGCCATTCTCGTAGACCAGCTCAAGACGTGGATCCTGCTGGAATTCTCCCATGGGGGCGCTAACCCACTCTCCGTTGGCTAGCTGAGCGACGGTGCAGTGCCATGGCGTAGTATAACCAGTCCTTGTGTTCAAGAGGCTTATCGACAGTTTATGTTCTCCAATCGATTCGTGTATCGACAGTCTGACGTGGTTCGGGAACGCTTTCTTCACTGCTCCAGCAAATGCCTAGAGTTTTTATCAGCATTCCAGTCTCGTAACACTTTACTCGAATGTGGAATCAGAATACTTACATAGCCTCTCATAAGCATCTCTTTTGCGAGATACTTGACGTCTCTCTTGTATTGGTTGCGGCCACGGGTCTCTCCAGTGTTGAATATGTGTTTTAAGTCTGACTCTAGAAATTTGCGGTAGCCGAGATATGTCAGTTTTGTATCTGGATTGATTGTGATTTCCTTGTCAATGTCGATATCCGGCCTTCCAAACTCATTCAAGAGTAACCGCCTGAAGTTTGTGCAGTTGGCAACATATGTGATTTCTCGCATCTTTTCTGGCAGCGGAAAGTCCAGTAAGTCTCGTAACCGGGAGAACGCAATAGAAGTAAACTTCTTTTCCAAAACCATCTCTCGTAGGGCCTCTCCGTAAGCCCAGGTATCACGATCTGATATCGATAGTAGGTCTTGGATATACATCAGCGAGCTTCCTATGTACTATTGAGAGATTTTTTACCATTGTATGTAATGCCGTCTGAGATGATCGTTACTCTTGCTCCAGGCTTGTAGATTTGCTTGATTCTTGTACACATGCTGTGCAGTCTCTCAAGAGCCAACTCTTCAGCTTTGTCCGGGAGAGTGCCAAGCACTTTGTAGACTTTGTTGGCTGACTTGAAAGGGAACGCTGGCAAACATGCTTCGACACGTTGACCTGCTTGAACAAAAGCGTCAATTCTCGACAAAAGATGTTCCCTCCCAGCAGCTAATCGCTCCCTGGAGTCATTGAATTTGTTGAGTGCATGTTCGTGCATGATCTCAAGGATGTCATTAGATATATCGTTCACTGGGCTTGGGGTGATGGTGACGGTTGGTTCCTCCTGTTGAAGTGATAGCCCGAGTCCGACTGAACTGTCATGGCGTGTATATGGTGGAGGCATTTGGCTTCGCACTGAATCGATGGAGCGACTGTCGGATGTTCTGTACATGATTATGGATGGATAAGATGATTACCAAAACACAGGGGTAATTGGAGTAGATGCCCAGGCTCCTGGCGTGGTCTTGGGACGCTTTAAACAGTTGAGTAGTACGGAAACTGGTGGTGGAGAAAGAGAAGCAAGGATCACATGAGTCTCTAAATGGGGTAACAACTGGTGGCCCTTGTCAGAGCATGTGGATTCGTGCTCATACTTGGAACACAGAGCTCAGCGCAGGCAGCGCTGACAGTCAGTTCCCCGGTAGGCGTAATGGTAGTGGCTAGGTATGTTGGTGGCCTCGTGTCTGGATGAGGCAGCAGATGATGAGAATAGGACTCTGCTATCCGTGGCGGCATGACCTGACATGTCTATCTGACACAAGAGGGGGTACAGCAACGGCTGCGGTGTGCTCAGGGCAACACGATGCTGGCTCAGTTTGCATTCACCTGCTCGATAGCCAAGCCGCAAGCTCAGGAATGAGAAGGTTAGCAAGCGAGAGCGTTGGTGCACCCAGCGACAGGGAGGGGCGGAGTAGTGTGGTGGTGTGCCAGCTAGCTGGGATGGCAGGGGCCCTAGTCCTGACTAGTGCATGGCGGTGATGGACACGTCGCAGTGACTTGCAACCACACTCTGATCATAGAGGAAGCTCACTGCATGCCAGCCACAAACATGTCACTCTAACTTGTAACAACACACCAACGCCGGGGATGCGCGTGTTTGCATGCGCCCGGCTGTAGTCTGACGTCCTGCAGACATCTCACCCATGTTCAGATGGTGGAGGAAGGTCAAGCACAGCCAGACGATCGCGAAGCCACCAAACACACCAGCGTTCCGCAGCGCTGTACTACATCTAGGCTATAGGTATCTGCTTAGTGGGGGCAGCGTGCTTCTTTACTCAGGTTGAGTGGATCAGTAGGTATGGCCTCGCTTATTCTTTCCATGCTTATTTAACGCTGATTGCGTGGACCGATGTTCAATGCTTCTATTAAAAACATCGACTACCAAAAATGACGACTTAAGCAGCTACTGCCGGCCTGCCAGATATCATACGGGCTTTGTCATAGCCCGCCTAGTTTGAGCTGAATGTGAATAGCTCTTTACTCCAGTACGCTGAGTCTCTTCAAGCATACGTTTGCAGCCCATGGACCCAATAGCACAAATGCTACGTACCTATCCCCTTGATCATGTAACAACGGCAATGGCAGACAGTGATTTCGCGGGTGATATCTGGGTGACGAAACCAGAGACCACTTGAGGTTGGCTGATGTAGTTTCCAATAACAGGTAGTGTGTTTCACAGCCCTTGCGTGTGACCCGGAAATTCATTCACGCTCCGGCCTAGTAGTACAATTGGCGGCTAATAAGACAACCAGGCCTTTACATTGTACAGCATACGCCACAAAACCAACACCTTTTTTCCAGGGTGTATGTAAGCATTTGGTGCTGGAACCGGTTCACATTGGCCTGTATCTTGGACCAACTCAGCCGCAGCCGCGAAACTCCACCGGGCCCTCGCACGGGCCCATAGCGAACGGGAAGTGCGCCAGTAGAGTTCAGCAGGCAAAACTTGCTCACGTTGAAATGTGCTCACGGCAGATGGTTGAGCTGATTCGCTTGGCGAAGGATTGTGCAATCTTGCTCGTAACTTTTCGACCTTCTATATGCGGCAGCTACTAGTTCCACCATAGGCCAAGCTTCCCAGGTCAACGCAAATCGACACTCTCCCCCACGCTTTCATGGACTGTAAGATCGCTTGTGTGTGGCGTTTGGGCGCCATGCGCAGCGGCGGACTTGCTTCTCTGACCGGCACAGCGGGCGGGCCGTTGCAAGGGGCTCCGGGACCATGTCTGTCTGCTGTAAGGCTGACGCATGTTTAGCCCCCGGGTCGCGGATCCATTCATCTAATCCACGTGTAGTCGAGATCCCTAGCCCGAGCGTTACATGCGCAAACACAACCACCTGCATAGGCCGGAGAGGCACTGCACATACATGTACATGTCCAAGCGCACATCTACCCGTGGCTCACTAGCACCTCGTTATCGCCATGAGCTCGCAACCGCCACCCTATCCCTATCCCTATTCGCAGGCTTCCCGGTTGGACCCACGCATCACACTGCCTCGGCCAGCCATCGATGCCGCGTTGGCGCCTATTGTCGACTCGGTGCTCCTGCCGGAAGAACTGGACGTCACCTTTATGCGGGGCTTCGATCTGAGTGTGACCCTTGACATGATACTCGAGTCTCATCCGCATCTGATACATGCACAACATGCAGTTCCAGGCTCAGAGGGGCATACTATTGCTCTATCCGTCTTCACGCCCGCCGCAGCACAAGGCCCGCTGCCAGTGTTGTTCTTTGTGCATGGAGGGGGAATGATCTCAGGTGACCGCTTCAGCACCATTCCTTCGCTTGTCGACCTGGTGCAAGATGTACCATGTGTTATTGCGTCAGTCGAGTACCGCCTGGCCCCCGAGACTCCTGCTCCTGGTGGCGCCGAGGACTGCTACGATAGCATCGTATGGATGTCGGCGCACGCTGCAGACCTGGGAATCGACGCCGCTCGAATCATTGTTTGCGGTTCATCGGGGGGTGCTCCTCTTGCCGCAGCCGCCTGCCTGATGGCACGCGACAGATCCAACCCTGCTGTCCCTATCAAAGCCCAGATGCTTCTTTCGCCTATGTTGGACGACAGGTGTAACAGTGTCTCGGACCGTCAGTTCGAATACGGTGTGCCGTGGAATGGCCTTACCAATCGTGCTGCCTGGAACCACGCACTGGCCGGGCAGCGCGACACGGAACACGTTTCCCATTATCAAGCACCTTCCCGGGCCACTGATCTGTCCAATCTGCCCCAAGCATACATTGATGCTGCAGAGTGCGAGGTCTTCCGCGACCCTGCTGTCATGTACGCCATGAATATGTGGCGTTCTGGTTCTTCGTGTGAACTGCACGTTTGGCCGGGAGGCATCCACCTATTCGATGCCATTGACAACCCTGAAGTCCCTGTTGTTGGTGCAGCAATTGCTGCTAAGCGCGCCTGGCTCAAGAGAATGATGCGAAGTCCAAGGGCTGACAAGGATATTGCATAATGGGTAACATTTCCCGACCTCCTGTCACATGCCAGTCTACGCTGTGGTGGTGTGTCGTCTGACTGTTTGCGTTCTAGAAGAATTGCACTTATTTAATAGTGGCATTATCTAGGCTTACGCCGACTTCCATCAGCCTTAATGCATAGATAGTATCACCTGCGAGAAATTAATCATGTTCTATCATTTTACTGCTCTCAGCGCCAACAAATTTGGCAACAGTGCTGCATAGGCATCCGTCTTTTTGGTTACATGCCAAGATCTTGTACGCAAGATGCTAGTCAAACTTACTAGACATTGACATATCAACGCTCAGTATTCCTAGTTGAGCAGAGATCGGCGTTGGCAGGGATTAGTAGTATCAGCCCCACTACAACATCCCAGTCAAGCGATTAAGCTACATCGGGGATTAGCAAACACGCACTCGTAGTTTTGGCTGATTTAAGTTTGGATTACACGGCTGGTCTACCATTTCCCTGCAATCCTTCGGCTGCCCCAGTTAAGTGAGCATGTTTGCGCCTTTTCGTCAGCTTATCTGCAGAGAAGCGGATACACACAGCTATTACACTGAGAACTAGCTGAAGGGATAATGCACAACTCATGCGCCACGCCTTGGTATTGTTTTTTTTTAGCGTTTCAAAATCGCCACTCAGCTGGGTCATCTTGATCGAGGGGGCGGTGTTGGTAACGGATGCACCACAGAGCGTGGGTTTGGACGAGTGTCCCGCCTGACATTAGTGCTAGACTGTACTCCGAAGGATCTCACACTTACACGAAGGACATAACAGCAGCCCCGCGAAACAATGTACGGGAGTCCCATCACTTGGCCTTGTCACCTAATACGAATGCTAGTTGATATATCTACAGGGCAAGCAAACTGTCATTATTTACATAAAACCTTCGCAACTTAGAGATATCAATCTCTACTCCTAGCCTTGTAAGAAACAGGTGAACAACGAACCAAATATGGGAGACATTGAACAACCCCTCAAGTTACGCTCACTTGGTTGGTAGCCACATGTCGAACCTCAATAGTATATTTGTAACTGAAAAAATGTAGGGCGATCTGAACAGCTTTCGGCAGTCTCTCACGCCCTGGGCTTTTTCAACAATGTGGGCGTATCAGCACACTACTCAGTATCCGAACCTGCTGCTCAGTACCATCTGCAACACAGCGTTTATGCTGCGTTGGCACATGTGATAAAAGAACATGCCATCTTGTCAGCCATTCCTGTCGACGAAGAGACTCCAAATTCGTATTGGGTACAGCTACCGACAATCGATCTCACACGCTCCGTTGCGTTCCTGACTCGAAAGCGGTCACTGGAAGAGACTGGAGAAGACTCTGAGCTCGATGATATACTGCGAGAGCAACACAACATAAACTTCAAGTCCGATTATGGCACACTGCCGTTTTGGCGCTTGGTCATCCTCCGAGATGCAGAGAACGAGCTCGACTTCACTGCCTCATTCATTTTCTACCACGGCATTGGTGACGGTGCAGCTGGTCTAGTCTTCCACAAGTCCTTCAGCGAAGCAATAAACGCAGCTTCATCTAGCGAGTCTCTCTCCACCACACTCATCCACTCCTCACCCAACGCCCAACTCCTTCCACCCCTCGAAAAACTCCACCCACTCCCCCTTAACCCAAACCCAGCCGACCACCGTACCCCAGGCCTCCAAGAATGGACCGGCGACTCCATCCGTCTCCCCTGCCAAACTCATTACCGCACCCTCTACCTCTCCCCCACCTCCTCCGCTGCCTTCACCCAAAAATGCAAGTCAAACAATCTCTCCGTAACAGCCGGTCTCCAAGCCACTCTCGCCCACGCCCTCTTCGACTCCCTCCCCCCAACCACAGAAGCACTCACAGGCATCATACCCATCAACCTCCGCCCCTGGCTCAACCTCCCTTCAGAAGCCGCCACAAACGCAATCGGCAGCTTCATCGACGCCATAAAAGTCCAAATACCGCGTTCACATTTCGCCGCCGAGTCCGAAGACGCAGTGCTTGGACTTGCCGCTGCAAAACATACTGCGAATGCGATATCCAAGTATCTAACAGCCAACCCCTCGCCGTCAGGTGAGCCGTACACCTCCGTCGCGTTCTTTGGCGCAATTCCCGATGTCGCTGCTGTGTTCAAGAGTATGATTGGGGCGCCGCGGGATGCGGCGTTTGAGATTTCAAATATTGGAAAGTTTCCAGGTAGTACTGGGGATGAAGATGCGAAGTGGCGGGTTGGTAGGATGGCATTTAGTCGCAGTGCGGTGGCGTTTGGGGCGCCGCTGAATACGAGTGTTGTGTCTGGGGCGGATGGGGGGTTGACGATTGGATTTTGTTGGCAGGAGGGAGTGTTGAACGAGGGTTTTGTGGATGAGGTTGTCAAGGGGTTTGGGGGGTATTTTGAGTCTGGGGGTTTTTAGGATGGGAGTCCGCTGGGCTTGGATGCTTGTGTAGGTTACATGGTTTTCTTATATTCGGGAGTGTTGGGAGGGGCGGTGTTTGTCAAAGTAGCCCAACAAAGTGTTAGTCGTAAGAGGCAACAGCAGTGAGATATGCTAGCGAGGAATATATTTAGGATCAAAGAGAAGCAGCGCAATCTTCTTGTTCTCAGACTACGCTAAAACAAAATAGCAAGGATCATGAGTTTGAACGTCTGACCTCGCTTCATAACGAACTACGAAGCCAATGAACTCTCTATTATTCCTAGTGGACATGATTTCTCTCTCGATCACTTTCGTTTCCTATCTGATATTCTAATCCACAGACTACCTCACACCCCATCCTACCCTTCCACTAACCCATTCGATTCCCAAACGCTAAACTCCAATTCATCCAGCTACCCCCAACTCCTCCCCCAATCACCACTCCGCCCAAGTCTCTCCCACCACCACCTCCTCCTCCTCCTCCTCCCACCCTTACCCCTGTCACAACTTCGTAACGACGCCATCAATCCCTCTATACCTAACACTGTGGTCTCACATATCACCACCCGTTTACTAAGCTCTTCCCAAACGACTTAGCTATAAGAAAGATTTCTCAAGATGTCTTTCTAGAACACTGCTAGGACTCTTGACGTAAGTTGCGTAGGTGGAATGGTAGGATTGGTACGGGCCAGGATGAATGCGGGGAATGGGGGAGGTGGGATGAGGGATTATGCGCAAGAGATGAAAGAAGTGGGAGGGAGTGGGTGGTAGTGGAGAGGAATTCCAGGTGTGGAGGGAATTGAGGAAGGTGGGGTATATGGGTTGAAAGGGAATTGTCGGGTTGTAGGGAGGATTAGAGGAGGTTGTGCTGGAGTATGGTGGAGAAGGAGGGAGTAGGAGGGTTTGAAGGGGATTGGGATAGGGTTGTGGTGGCGATATGAAAAAGATGTTGATGAGATTTCCATGTAGCTAGTTCAAGCAAACATGTAAGAATTGTGATGCAATCACACGGCTTCAATTTTTCCACCCGCATGTTTTCCAATACAAGATTTGAGCTTTCAACCCATTCTATTGCTGTACTGAACACCGACTGCTCTATATACCGAACAAGTGTGAGAATCTTCAATCCACAACGATCAAATAGAAAGACGTTCGTATTCATGAACACTCAGAAATATGAAAAAAAAATATAGGTTACCAGCACCCGCTATCCTGACTCCAAGACCGATATCAGGGTCTTACACCTAAACTCCAATCCACGCTTGACCTCAGCCTTTACGTTGATCTAAGTTGGAAAAAAAAGAGGAAGCTATCATATACAATATACAATCCAAAAAAAAAAAAAGTCATATAAACATCCACATCACTCACGCCCTCCTCCTTCGAATCCTAAACCCAATCCTCCCCTTCGGCTTCTGCGTCCCCAGTCCAAATCCACTCGAATCCATCTCCACCCGCCTCCCTTCAACCTCGACCTCAAATTCACTCACCAACAACGCACACGTGAACAGAATAATCCTCTTCGCCAGCAACCTCCCGGGGCAGGCGCTGAAACCCCCACCATACGGTATCCACGCGCCCGCCAACCCTTTTGCCGAGAAATGAGGGTCTTTGGTTGCGAGTTTCGAACGGATATCGCTGGCTTCGGGGGAGGATGGGTCGAGAGGCCCCGAGGCGGGGTCGGCAGGGTCGAGAATGAAGCGGTCGGCCCAGAAGGAAGTGACGGGGTGGGCGCCACCGCGCTCGTTCCAGAGGGATGTGTTCATGTGGGCGACGTAGGAACTCACCATGGAGACTTCGTTGCGGGGGAGGGTCCAGTCGCCGACGGTTACGCATTCATGCGCTGAGCAACGCGTAATATACGACTGAACGTATAAGCGGAGTGTCTCTGCATAGACGGATTGGAAGAGGTCTTTTTGGAGGAGCTTGTCCATTGATGCGTCGAAGCCCGTTTCCGGGTCATGTGAGATGGAGTCGGAGATGCTGGTGCGGATTCGGGAGAGGAGTTGCGGGTCGGAGAAGATGTGGTAGGCGGTTAGCATGGTGGAGGGCACGACGTTGGTGACGGAGGTCCAGATGAGACCGAGGTCGGTGGAGGCGACGGCGGCGTCGTCTTGACCGGAGATGCTCAGGAGCATTGACTGGCGCTCGCGATTCATGATGGAGCCCCAGTAGGGGTCCCATTGGGTGTCTTGGTCGGTGTTGTTGTCGCGGAAGTGCTGGCGCGCGTAGTTGTACCAATTTTGGATTTGAGCAAGAAGACGCTCGCGGACGCGGTAGGCGCTGGGGACTAGGAAGCGAGGGAGACGCTTGGCGAGGTTGACGACTTGTTCGTCGAATTCCCAGAGGTCGCGGGTGAAGTTTGGGTTGATGGCGAGGAGGGAGGGGCCGAAGAGGGATTCGAGGACGGCTTTGCCGACAGTGTTGCGGAAGAAGGCGAAGAGATCCGAGTGTTCGATCCATTCGTCGCCAATGTCTTCAGCGTCGAGGTTTCTTTTGAGGATAGTTTGGAAGCGTTCAAATGTTCGGAGCATTGAGTGGCTCGTCAGTCCGCGGAGCAGCGAGTCATGGGTGAGAAAGTCGATGCGGTCCTGTGGCTCGACATTGCTAAACGGATGAGGCTTGCGATATGGTCCCGAATCATCAGCCGTATAGGCCTCAATTCCTTTTTCGTGCATGCCGAAGATATAACGCAGTCCCACTGTATATACGTAGATGGGGCTAGAAAGGTTTGGGTTCTTCCACATATCGGCAATGGCGTTGGGCTCAGAAACGAGATAGATACCATTGATGAGCAGTGAAATACGAACACATGTCAGCTTGCCGGCGTATGTTCTATGCTTTGAGTCAGCTTTGTTTATGTGCAGCATATTGACCAAAAACTCACGTTGCCTTTGCCACAAAGGAAGCGCTGTCCCACAAGAACGAAAAAGTGCTTCCTATGATGGGCATTGCGGGATACTCAGGCGGTGTCTGCCCCGGTTTCCTTCGCATGTTTGCCCAATGATATAGTGATAGTGTGAACAAATAGTTGAAAATAAAGGGAATGGCCAATAGGGTGCCTGCGACCAGAATCTGCCGGAGACTGTTCGTCCATGAACTTGGAGTCATGTCTAGGCCTGGAGTATGAATGACAGACTCATTCTGCGGGATATGCTGATCTTGAAAAGGCTCGTACATGACTTCTTTCAAGCTGGGCCAGAAGGAGAGGCTGGTCTGAGTCCCTTGAACGACTGCCATCGTGAGTGAATCCAGATGGCTGTAAGGTTTGAATACAAGGGTACGCTGAAGTGTCACCAAACTTGCATGGGTTTTTATGCCTCTTGCACTGATACCCTGTTATATAGACACTGCATAGCTATCCGCTGGCGCTTTTTCCATAGATACCATCAGTCAGCACATCGACCACATCGACTACTTCAACCGGCCATGGCAGTGCTTCATGAGCGTCAAGCTAGAGTCGGCTTACCTTTGGACGCCTAATAGGATGCGTATACTCGGGGAATACCACCAGCCTCACATGAGCGGCGAGGATTCCCGTTTGGGCGGTTGGGCTGCGCGGAGGCAGGGGTGTGGAGGCAACCACGATAGAAAAGCTGATGCTTTGTGGTTTTGGCCCCATTGCATCAGCGCTTAGAGCGCCCTCAGCCTCCAAGATACAGTATGGCAGATTGAGTTTGTGCAAGCGTCCTTCTTCGTCGGGGCGTTGCGGCAGCTTGTTCCTCCCGCTGTGTGTGCGGGGTGCCGTGCGCCGTGGCTTGTTGGCCAATGTTCCGAGCTCTGAGGCTGGAGATGTGAATCCCAATGTCAGCCTTGTGCACCGCACTGCCATTGTGACCCCCACAGCTACCTTCTTTTTCCCTGGTTGTGCCGCACAATCTGCATATATTGAGTGTGTCGCAGTCACAGGCAATAGTTCGTGCAGCGGGGTTTTTTTGGACCCCCGAAATGCTTCTATACATATACCACGCCAAGTACGAATCGGTTCAGCGGCCGTGCTAAGGCATGTGAATGTCGCACCTTATCGTCATTTGCCGGTTACGGGCGCCGCCCGTGCCGTGATACGAGTGCATGGCATGCTAATATTGTGGGGTTTTCGGCAAGGATTCTAGAAAGCTGCCTAGTCTACATGTACAATTCCCTGTCCCTGCACTCCCATTCGTGCAAGATATTGAATATTTTTGGCACATGATGACCAATCGCATCTGTGGGTGGTGCCTTGTACAGCAAGATTGGAGCTGAGGACATGGAGATGTGGCGTCAGGTTTTTTCGCAGGCACGCAGAGTAGCATCGTGGCAATCATCAATTCATTCAGTCATGGTACAAGTGGAGACCCTGATATTGGGGAAAATAACTCTTCCGTCTCAATCGCTACCGATATCCCCAGGCAGTTTTCTTATCACTGCTAAGATACAGAGAGACATCCAGCCACTATGGAAGGTGTGGGAGAGTAAGAATCCCAGCTTACACGTCCCTTATCATGATTTCTGGCTCCTTGCTAGACGCGGATGAGTGCAGCCGAGCACTACCATCTTCCTTACTGTAAAGGGTAGATTCTGGCGAGTTTGCTTGGATTGACTGGATTTCTCCTTGGTCGTTGATAAATGTCCGAAGACCAGTCATCTGAGCCCTGGGGACGGTCGGTAAGCCAGAAGACCCCTTTCCGGTCCCAGACTCAAGTGTATCATCCAGCAGCGTATCTTTCCTCTTACGATTGAACTTTGCAGCAAAAGAGGCAGAGAAGAATCGTTGAGCTTGCTCTTTGGGCGATAATGCCTTGCTGTTTTTCCGTGATACGAAAAAGCTTCGGAAAGCAGTTGCTGCCGCGAGAAAGACACCGACCTGGGCGCTAAGGACAGTCCAATACAGCTCCCATATGGTATCAACCATGTCGTTGTTGATCAGTCCAGCGAGACGAGCAACAGTGGTGGCCATCATGATAACGGTCAAGCAAAGCGAAGATGCCAAAGCAAGCTTTTGCGTCCACTGTACTTTAATCTGCCAGATGATGCAAATTGGTATGGCAAGTACTAGAGGGCGTCAGCCAATGTATCTGAATTGCATGTAGTGAACTTACTCAGAGCATCACCGACGAGGTCAAGGACCATTTGGGCAGTGGAGTGGTGGACGAGAAGCTTTTTGAACCTGCCAGTGGCGCATTGCACTAGGTGCTTGTCAGCATAGTAAGCGTTGGAGGACCAGCTTACTTACGTTCTCTCAAGTCGAAATAATAAGGGCACCCGATGTACCAGATAGCAGTGCCATATCCCAGGCAGGCCAAGTTGAAGAGGACAACCACCCACCAGTAGTAGTTGAGTACAGGCACCCGGTCAATCAACTTCTTGAAGAAAAACAAGAAGCTCAACTTGACGGCGACGACAGAGGCCCAAGCTACCATGCCACATACAGTGACCCATTTGTGGAAGTGGAATGATATCTGCATCCAGTCTGGAGGAGGTACGACTCCCGGGACGCCAGTCTGCAGAGCGACAATGAGATACATGCGATTCATGACTTCCTTGAACATGACGACAACACTGCACAGAAGAAGGCTAAAAGCGAGGAGCAAGAAGCCATCATCGGCAGAGAAGGATTGCTTCTGCACTCTGAAGCGAATGATGAAGCGTGTGGTGATTGCTACCACACATAGTGCCAGCATCACTGACTGGGATATCTAGCAATCATGTTAGCGCAGAGCAATTGGATAGACAAACGCCATGCTCACGATAAGGGCCTCTTTGGGAACACGGCCTGCAGTGTCCTCGGGCTTCATGATTGAGTAAAAGGCAAAGATTGATATGAGTAGGTATGGAGAGGGATGCCTTGTCAGCGTGCAAGCTGACAAGACGAAAGAGAGACACCCCAATCCCTATATCATGTCACCACCATTCGCCTCTCGCAGTGGAAACATAGTGCCGAAGGTGCGTCGTCGACTCTGCATGTCTTACTGCTTAATCTGCTAGGGCTTACAGGAATAAATCAACCCTATACCCCCCCGCCCATGGTTCAGCCTCGTCCAAGTGGTCAGTTAGTCCCCGACGTGGCATTTCGGGGCCTCAGCCTCAGCACTGCCCGTGCTGCCTTCCGGCGTGCATGAACACAGAGTCTGTTCTTTTTTGGGGGCCAAGGCATATTAGAGGTACGCTGCTTTGTAACGGGCGGCTAATCGTGGGGCAGTGGGTGAATTGCCCCCACATTTTCGATAGCTTCCAAAGTGGGGGGGGAGGGCGGATTTGGGGGCCGCTTCCCATGTCGCCTGCCCTGCACGACAACGATCCACAAGTACCCGCGCCGCCTGCGCCTCATTAACCGGAATTGGCACCAACAGCAGCACAAGCAGCAACAATAGCAACAACAATAACGACAATCTATCCAGCCTCATCTCCCCTTTATCAGAAGACCCTCCGCTTCGCCCTCGGTGAGAGGCCATCACATCGTCATGGCTTCCCTCTCGTACAGCACCATTGCATGGCAAATCGCGCTGCCGGCGGCCGTCGCCGCCATTGGCGTATTCACTTTCAAGATGATCAAGAACCGCATGATCTTCTACAGGCTCAAGAAGCAAGGCCTGGTACGCAGCTGCGATAGTCCCTTTGCGCGTTTCCTTGCTGACACTCTCATCTTTAGCCCATGCCTCCATGGGACTTTGGAGCTGGCAGCCTTCAGGCTCTGCCGGCTTTGCTCGAAAAGTTCCCCAAGGGCTCGCAGCAATCAGATGCCTTTACTCTCCTCTCCTACGATTTCAAGCAGTCGGATGGCTGCTTCTACATTGATCTTTGGCCTTTCTCGAGTCCGCTGATGGTAGTCACTTCTCCCGATCTTGCCATACAAGCTTGTCAAGAATACGACCTTCCCAAGCCACCGATTCTCATTCCCTTTTTCGCGCCCTTCGCCGGCGGCCCAAATCTCTTCGATATGAATGGCGCCGAGTGGAAGCGTTCAAGAGCTCTCTTCAACCACGGGTTCAGTGCAAACGTGATGCTCGAGAGTACGCCCCACATTGTCGAGGAAGCCGAGGTATATGTGGCGCTGCTGCGTGAGCACGCGAAAAAGGGTGACACCTTTTCGCTAGACGAGCTGACATGCGACTACATGATGGACGTTATTGGGTCGATTACAATGTAAGCATACATGAGATGTACAGTACTTTCGTGCAAGCGCTGACCATGTCAGCAATGCTCGTCTCCACTCTATGACTCGACACAACGCACTTGCTGCTGCCATGCGGAGCTCCATCCAATGGCACTGTCAAGATGAGGAGCTGAATCCTTTCAAACGCTGGAACCCAATGAGACCTATTATTGAGTGGCGCAACGGCAAGATCATGGACAGTTATATTGGCAAAGAGCTAGACAAGCGATATGAACACTGGAAGTCCAATGAGCCGTCCAAGGGAGCCAAGTCTGTCATGGATCTTACCATCGCAGATTACATGGGCGAACGCAAAGGTGCCGATAAGCTTGATCCCGATTTCAAGAGATGGGCTACCACCCAGATTCGCCTCTTTCTATTTGCAGGACATGACTCCACTGCAGCTACCATTGTGTACAGTCTCTACATGATGTCCAAACACCCCGAGGTCCTAGCAAAAGTTCGCGACGAACTAGACCAAGTCTTCGGCAAGGGCACCGACTCAGCTGCCCGAGTCCTCAAAGAGCACCCGGAAGAAATCAACAAACTGACCTATACAAATGCAGTGATCAAAGAGACTATGCGCCTCTTCCCCCCTGCATCAGGCATGCGAGGCGGACTTCCGGGTGTCTTCCTTCGTGACAAGAACGGCAACAAGTATCCCACGGAGGGCATCAACATCTGGATTGCCCATGGCGCTGTGCAGCGAAACCCGGACTACTGGCCTGAACCCCACAAGTTCATTCCTGATCGTTGGCTAGTGGAACCCGGCCATCCTTTGTATCCGCCAAAGGGTGGTTGGAGACCTTTTGAGTATGGCCCCCGTAACTGCATGGGCCAGACTCTCGCCATGCTCGACATCAAGATTACCTTGGCAATGACAGTTCGTGAGTTTGACGTGCATGATCAATATGAGGAATGGGATCGGTTGCATCCATCTTCTGGTATCAAGACCGTCTTCGGGGAGAGGGCATATCAAGTGCCTCAAGGAGCAGCTCACCCAGTCCATGGCTTCCCATGCAAAGTCACAGCTAGGAACGTAGAGTAGAGTACGTTGGTGATAGTGTCAAGGATGATAAGGTTTGGCTGGTTTTTGTTTCAAAAGTTATGAATATCCACAAGTGGCAGTCTATATCTGATCACGGCAGATGTTTGGTGTATCGGAGTATCAATAGTGTACATATAAAAATATAGTTTAGTTTATTGTATGCGGTTTTGAAAATGCCATGTAAATCAAGCAAGCGTATGCTCGGCTATGTACCTCGACTCGGCTAGCCCCATCTAGTAGACGACAAGCATCTGAGTCGGCTTTATAACTACGTAGGTGGAGTACCACATACACATATCAACAAAACAACGTCGTATCCAAATAGCAATGTAAACAACATAGATCAGAAATCATGTCAAGACTAACCGCGTTTTCCATCCTACGGGCCATGCGCCCTAGGCTATCCAAACCACTTACCAACAGTAAATGCCACTTCTCCACAACACCTCGCCCCCATATCATGGAAACCACAGGCTTCACCTCAACCCAACTCGAAGTCCGAGAAGCCATCTCAGCCCTCTGCACCCAATTCCCTGACAGCTACTGGCGGCACCACGATGAAACCTCCACAGACCCCTCCTCCTTCCACGCCGCCCTCGCCAAAGACGGCTGGCTCGGCATCGCCCTACCAGAAAAGTACGGTGGCTCAGGCCTAGGAATCTCAGAAGCAACAATGATGCTCCAAACCATTTCCGAATCCGGCGCTGGCATCGCGGGCGCGCAAGCCATTCACGCAAACGTCTACGCCACCCAACCGCTAGCAAAATACGGCAACGAGAAGCAACTCTCCGACACGCTCCCCCGCATCATCAACGGCGAACACCGCACCTGCTTCGGCGTCACAGAACCCAACTCGGGCCTCGATACCCTCAGCCTGCAGACAACCGCTCAGAAAACGCCAGACGGCAAATCCTACATCATCAACGGCCAGAAAATCTGGATCACATGCGCCCAAGTCGCCTCGCGCATGATTCTCCTCGCCCGCACCTCCACCACCCAGAAAAAACGCAATGAAGCCCTCAGCCTCTTCTGCATCCCGCTCGACCGCCGCAGCCCAGACTCCGGGTTGAGCATGCAGCGCATCAAGAAAATGGGCGGGCGAGCCGTCGACGCGAATGAAGTCTTCTTCGCCAACTACCGCGTTGACGCCGACACCCTCGTTGGCGCCGAGGGCCAAGGCTTCCGCATCATCCTGTCCGGAATGAATGCTGAACGCTGTCTACTCGCTGGTGAAGCGCTCGGCTTGGGCTATGCCGCGCTGGCACGCGCAAGTGGGTACGCCCGGGACCGTCGAGTTTTCGGGCGTCCGATTGGCATGAATCAGGGCGTTGCGCATCCCCTGGCTGATGCGTATATGCGGTTGGAAGCGGCCAAGTTGGCGACGTATCATGCGGCCAGGCTGTACGATGCGAGTTTAACTGACGACTCGATACGCGCGGATGCAGTCGGGGTCGCGGCGAATAGTGCAAAGTATCTTGCTGCGGAGGCGGCGTTTAATGCGTGTGAGAGGGCGGTGCTGGTGCATGGCGGCATGGGGTATGCGCAGGAGTATGATGTGGAGAGGTATTTGAGGGAGTGCTTTGTGCCGAGGATTGCGCCGGTGAGTAGGGAAATGGTGTTGAATTATATTGGGGAGAAGGTGCTTGGGCTGCAGAGGAGTTATTGATGTGTGAGGTATTTTTGATATACACATGTGAATTGTCGAGAGACAGATGAAGAAAGAGAAAAAGGCGCCTTTGAAATGCTAATAATTCGTATATTAACCATTACCACAACATGAATGGCGTAATCGTGTCTAATCGTTTACATCAAGAATTTCAAACGTGGGCTTGTTATGGCGTACCAATACAGCCAGCCCGTTGCGCCTATACACCGAATTTTTGCCATGACCAAAATTGTCTGCTCATCAATGCTCTTCAGCTGGAGTCTCTTCTACCCGCTCTTGTATCAAGTCGACCTGCTTGACTGGATGCAGTAATACTGCTGGAAGACACATGCGGCCTTCATGAGCCAGCTCGTATTCCTCACCACCATCATTATCAACCTTGTATCCCATCCAGCGCTTCCACAGGTTGGGTGCAAAGCCAGCGTGATAGTACCATGTAGTGCCGAGGAAGTTGTGTTGCCTTTCGTCAGAAAAGACCGAAAGACGGGCACCTCCTGATGCACCGTTGCGACCATTGTTGAAAATAGCAGCAAGATACTGCGTGGGCCATTTACGATCAATGAAAACAGGGTGAGGTGCGTACACAGCTTTCAGGCCGTGGTGCAGGGCGCAAGACGCAGGCCACATCTCGCTGAACATGGTATGGCGGAAGAGCGACTGCTCGCGGTGCATGGTTTCCAGGAGTCTTCTTGACAACCGTCCAGAGGTATTGATGGCTGTCCGGCGTGGTGGGCGGCCATTCTTGAGATCATAACCAGTAGTGTCATCGGCTAGGATCCAGTTGGTCTGGTCAGGGTCGAACAGGGGGTTGAATACGATAAGATCTGCAGGCTCGCCTACGCCCCACTCGTACTTGTCTTCGGCCATGGTAGTGTTCGGCTTCACGGCGGGATCAATCTCGATTCCTGGATAGTCGTCTGGAACCTCAGGACCCCAGACTGCTTTTTCAGGCTTGAGTGTTTCTCGGCCAGGGACATGAGGGTTCGGTGGGAGGTGCTTAGACCATCTGTTTGCCTGGCTATTGGTGCCATGTTCAGTCTGCACGCGTACTGTGTGCTTGAAGTCCTCCCAGGATTCATGCACTGAGGGTACATAGAAACGCCCGTTACGTTCCCATAATCCTTTGCGGGGCTGGGCGGCTGTCCACTTGGAGACTTGTTCAAAGAGATGATAGTAGTGTCCAGTGTATCGCACGTCCATCTCCCAGTGCCAGAAGTAGTCATATTCAGGGTGCTGGTGAGCAAAGTACGTTACTGGCATAAAGGTAGATCGATAGGCGCCATGGACGGGCAGGCCGCGGTAGTTGGTCTCCTCAAGACCTCCATAGATCAGACCCATTTGACGTTCTGACCAGAGAGTGCCCATGCCGGCAAATTCAGCAGGCAAAGAGTTCTTGAGAACTTCTTCATAGACCTTTTCGTCGGCCCAAATCTGCTTGTTGTCATCCTTGACGTGGATCAAGAAGTGAACCTCGTATTCGCCTCCCGAGGAAAGACTTAGCTCGGAGATGAGAGCGCGAAGGTACATTAGATCCTCATCGTCGTATTGGTAGTCCCACCATGTTCGGAGGAGGACTGCAGTACGTGGAAGAAGGGCTTTGTGTGCCTTCTTTGGCTTCTCGTGGGTTGTAGTGTCAACGGGTGTTTCCTCTTCGATATCGGTGTCACGCTTCCGCATACTCTGGAAACCATGAGGACGAGGGGTGGGTTGCTTCTCAAAGCGGCCCTTGTTCTTTTCCAAGCACCGATTGACAGCGTCAGCCCAGTTGACCTCGCGAAAGTCGACCTCGGAATCAGTCTTCCAAACATCTTCAATCCCTTCCCGGTCACCCTCCATGCCAGCGCCAGTACCGCCCCGACGTTTGCTGTAACCCAGACCATACGGACCCAGTCGGCCAAACCGCTCAAAACAGACATCGTTTCTCAGGCCCAGGAGTTCATAGCTTCCAATAACGTTATCCGGCATGCCTTGGGCAACACCCTTGTATGCTCGCAGCCCCGGTACCTTGATAGTGTCGTTCGCATCAACATAACATGTCTCGACTGGTCCATACTTGTCTACATAGTTTGTGCCGGTGTATTCTGGGAAAGGGTCAAAGGGTATAGAGTCGGCAATGTGGGCGCCTTCTGATCTCCGCTCTTTTGCTCCATCCTTGGGCTCCGCAGGCGGCAGCTCAGGGTCAATATCCTGCTTGGTGGGGTATTCGGGGACATTCTTTTCCCGACTGACTAGCGACCGGATTCCGCCGTGGTATCTCTTCAGGAACGGGAAGCTCTCCCATACATTTGGCGGTGGGGGAGGCTTATGCAGACCGAGCTCGGCGTTTCTTATCGATTGCCAACTACTGCTAAACAGAAACCACATGAACAAAAGCAGTGTAGATGCTATGGCCAGCCCAAAGTATCGTGTGCAGGCACGGGGGTTTCTGTAGCTGTATGCGCTTACGGTAGGTCTCGATGGTGCTCTTCGGTGGGATTTGGGGGGTCGTCGTAGTGGCCGCGACTCGATGTTATTTGGGTTTTGGTCGTATGCGCCTGAAGAGTGCCGTGAAGAAGACGGACTCTCCGAGTCGGAAGACATGTAGGCTTCGTAGTCGTCGCTGTCGTGACCCTTTTCATTGTGTCCGCCGTCTTCAACATCACGCTCGGCGGAGGGTGCCTGATTGTACGATTGGGCTTTCCTCTTGCCCACCGATAGGGGCCGGAAGCCGAGCATTTTTTGTAAACTCGGACGGGAGTGCGACTATAGCATGTGCGGTGTGCAGGCTATTTGCGGATGCGATTGCGTTGCGGGTTGAGTAAGAAAATGTTGCTGAGGTACGTAGGGCGCTTGCAGTTTCGTCACTTCTACAGCAGCCAGTAGCGTCGTGGAAAAAACGTCTCAAGCCGTGAAAAAGAAATCGTAATGTTCGTAGCAATGCGTTGAATTGGAACGCAAAATGTCGGTACACGGTGACGAAGCCCCAGGCCAGGGCACGTACACGTCGGCAAGCGGCAATCTTTCCGCCACACTAAACAACGGGGCGTTGGCGCAACAACCGCATCCATGCCTCAAGACCTATCCGCCACCCTTGCATACAATCAACACCACTTAACCAATGCATCTCAACAAAGTATCGGTACCTATTCAGCGAAAGTAAACTCTTCTATCATCATGTTTCCCTAATACCAAGAGTTGCTAGTGCGTGACTTTGCCAACAGGGCAGGCCAATCAACTGTGCAGCCCTGGTATCTGATTGTGTAAACCTACGTTGCAATGAAGACATGAATCTTATGAAACTGGTCTTCTACATAGAGGGTGACGGCTGTCTTTTTGGTCAAATGACCTAGATCCAAACCTTCCATCATGACTTCGAGTATTGGGATTGCTTTTAAAGGGGCAGACTACGCCTTGCATTTCCGGAGTCATCCATCATCACAAATATTGACCGAAACCATATCGTCTCAATCCCTGCAAGGCTTAGTCTGAGCCATCATGAGATTGGGTTTGAAACGCTGACAATTTGTTGGATGTGGGGCCTTCCGCCGAACGATTCCCCGTGCATTCTGTACTCTATGGTCGCCTCAAGGCAGCAAGTTGTCTTTCTCCTCAATGCGTATACTTGGGATTTTCTGTTGCAAGGTGCAAAATGAGTGAGCCTGTATATTGATATCATCTTCCTCGGATTGCATTTTTAGTATAAGTGGCGCGTTCTTTAGAGTGTCAGTTGCTCACAACGAAAACTGTATCCAAACAGGAAATAGAACTTCCTTTGATATACATCTTATCAGCTCTTTCTCATTGAGGGATTTGATTGTCCTTATCGAGCTAATTCCATGATTCAAATATTCTAGATTTGCATCGCGAAATCTAGAACGCACTCTATCATTTCATCTGCAGCTTTTCATCCATCAACGGGCTCTTCTTTACCGATAGAGGAGGGGGCTCTGGTCATACGATCAATGCTTCTGCAGGATCTATTATTGGATAATTTCCCAGCACTCTCCTGATACTGAACGCACTTCAACGGAATCGAGCAGATACCACACAAATATTGCAGCAGTGGAGCAAAAGCCACCAGGACAGACGCACCGGATCCGAACCTGCAAATAGCTTTCTTCTCAAAGATTAAGTATAATTGCCACCGGGCGTTATCTGTTCACTCGACACGGCAAGTAAGCAGGAGATGCACAGGTTCAAGATATGGAAACGGGAAGTGCCTTGATCCACAGGCGATATCCAGTCTGTCTGCTTATCAATCTCTTCATATCTCTCATCTGTAGAATACATACGACCAACCTCGAGGAAGGTAGGGAGGTGGTGTAGTTATATCCAAGAGACGAAAATGAGGTCAGTTACTCGGGTTCTGTAGCATGAGTTTAGTAGATCAAACTGCACCAACTGTGCAGCCCGTTCCTCGCATCACCACCCTAATTGCACGACCAGCGATATCATAACCTTTTCATTGCCAGCCCTAACGCTGAAGGAATCAACAGAATTCCTATTATCTAGTCATCAAACGCCAGCATACCCCCGTCCGCACCTGCAGATCCCAATCCAACCCTCTCCCCACCAAACCCTCCCTCTTAATATACCCACGGAAAAACCTGGTTCCTCCAATACACCTCCGTTCCCCGGCTTACTACGAGAGATGCTAACATCACATCGCAAATAACCACTAAACGGACCGCACCCGTCCGCCCGGTGGGCTAAAAGGCGTGGCTCTTGCGCAATAACACCTATTCTACTTGCGAAACCAAAGCCAAGGGGGGGTCAAGAAAACCCTAGTAAGCTGGGCAGGGAACCATAAGATGTGCGATAGTAAGCTCGGAGCGAGCTATACGTGCGATATATTAAAGCTACCAGGAACTACCTTCCATGCCAATTTGAAAGGTTCGAAAGCGTGGTTAGAGTGAAGGGCAAGGGCAAGGGGGATAAGGGACAAGGGCAAAGGAAAAAAGAAGTCTAAGTATAGCCGGTCGTTCGTATTCATGGTGGCAAGGGATAAGTGAGCAAAGTGTTTCGGAGAAAAAAAAAACTAACGTACAGGGCTGAAGTAGTGTATTGGCTACTGAGATTACGAGATTCCAAATAGGTAAGCGAAGATAAGTCAAGGCCCCAACATAGGATAAGCCTAGGGCTTAGGATACGAGATAGAAACTAAAGGATACAATAGAAAGAAAGTAGGTTATGCAAATAGTGCAATTATGCAATTTGTGATTTATCTATTTTCGTCGTAGACGGAGCGCCCATCGGATTGCGCATGTTTGCCGGTGTACCCCGTAAACCCCCCCCTTACCCCTGTACTAGATTGCCGCACAGACGGTCTTTGCTTGCTAGGTAACTCGTGTGCATTTGTTTCAAGTAGACGATCGAGAACAACAAGAGCTACGGAATCACCTGTGAAATACACAAGAAGACCTGGGAGATGGCATGATCAACAATAGAATGTATTTACCAATCGCCTGAAGCGATAGTTTTTAAAAAAATATATTTACAGAAGAATAAATCTATGGCAGTTACTTCTCAGCCATGTTCACCACGTCCCCACCCCATCCACGGGCTACTACTTAGTTCCAAGGGGGGAAAGGAAACAATTTAGATCCTTCCGTAACCAGCAGTGTTAACAACGTTCTTAGCGTTGGCACCGGATACGGCAGCAGCAATGTTCTTTCCAGAGAAGCTGCCAATGACGCTGGTATCAGAACCAGCGATGGCAGCAGCAGAACCGTAGACGTTGGCCTCGCAGTTGCGGCCAAGACCGCTCTTGCAAGCAGCACCACCTGAAGCAAAGACCTTGCCGGGAAGGCCAGTCTGGCACGCAGCCTTAACGTCCTGGAAGGCGTTGCCCTCAGCGACGATCTTGGCACCGGCGTCTGCCTCAAAAGCGTGGCCGGAGTTGGCGTAGAAGTAGTTGCCGACGGCGTGGAGGAGCGTGTTACCGGCGACCTTTGGCGAGCGGCCAGAGGTGTGGTGGATGTAGTTGCCCTTGAGGGTGACCATGTCGTTGCTGCCGGTGAGGTAGATTCCCCAGTAGTGGTGGCCGTCGCAGGTAGCAGACCAGGCAGTAGCGCCGTTGATCTCGTTGTTGGAGATGGTGACACGGCCGGAAGCCTTCTCGCCGAGGACAATGTGCTGACGGGCAATCAGGTCAGTGGTGACGTGGTCGATCCAGATCATGTCGCCTGTAATCATTCTTTGTTAGATACTGAGTACGAATTTGAATACAGATCGCAACTTACCGCCGTCGACGGTGATGGCATCACCACCCCAGACGTACTGAGGGTTGATCTCAGTGAAACGGACGTTCTGGATGATAATGTTCTTGACGCCGTTGGCCATGCGGATACCCTTTCCTTTGATGACACCCTTGTTGCCCTGGCCAACAAGAGACTTGTTGGAGCCAACAGTGATACCAATGACACCAGCCTTGTCATAGGTGATGCTGGCGACCTTGGGCGCGGTCTTCTGGTAGTTGTCGCACCATCCGTCCTTGTTGATGGCAATTTGGCAGGCGGAGCCAGTTCCCCAGGGGCGGCAACCAGCAGAGGTGGCCTTGCCCTCGCTGCCAGTGAAGTCAAAGGTCTTGGTGAGGACAATGGTGCGGGCCTGTCCATCACCGAGGTAGCTAACGAGCTCAGCGTTGGTCTTGGGGTAGACAGGGGCGGCGCTGCCACCACCAGTTACACCTGTTCACGTATAAGTCTACATTCTGGAAACAATGCAAAAGTTGACAAACCCTTGGCGAAACCCTCAGCAGCACCCTTGACGCCATCGGCAGCGTTGACAGCGGTAGCGAGAGCAGCCGCAACAGCGGCAAAGAGAGAGTACTTCATAGCTGAATTCTTGTTGATGCAAAAACTAGAGAGAGTGGACAGCAAACACAGTTTGCTTAGAAAAGAAAAGAATGTGCGATTGAAAGTAGAGAGTGAAAGACAATGCTGTTGTGATGATTCTCCATGGCAGCAGACCAAGTCCCGTCTTTATAATAGACAGGACTCGGAGGAGGCTGTTTCGAAGCAAGCCCCACAGGCTAATCTGAGAAACATTCCCTGGGAGTGAATACTGGGTCCGTTCTCTACCGGGTAGGGGTGTGCATCAAATCCATGAGTTGCGTCTTGCGCTTCGGAGGAATATTCTACCAGTATTCTGGAGTAAAGGATACACGATTTGATTAGGAGGATCCATGGAGGCAAGCGCGCTGTGAACAGTGCAAGATGGACAAGCTACGGACATCGGGATTGCCGCGAAACGGATGCAGGCAGGCGTTGGGTATGTTTGTGCAGCCGTGGCTTGGCACGGGACAGGATTGAGAGGCGAGCGGATGTTGGTGTTTCATATCAGCATGAGGCGGCTGGTGGTGACCCCACAGAGCCATTCCTGGTCGAGTTTAGATAGGAACAGGTATATTAGCCCTATCAGGGTTGAGATGACGAGGCTGATCAGTTCAAGACGTAGGATTCCTGGGAGTGGAATGATCAAACATGATGCCATATGCGACGTGAAACAGCATTGATCAGTGGAAGATCACGTGTTGAGACGCATGCACCAAGTAGATTTGACGATGCGTAGAAGCCGAGGCTTTTCTCGGATTGAACTTGATGAAGATAGTGCTGGCGTGTGTAGTCTGTCCACTTGATAGTGCTCTGGTCACTAGTGTTTCCTGGCAGGAGAAGGTCAGTCGCGTATAGATTCATGGGAAAGCAAAAAGGTCCGACTCTCATACTTATTAAAGTCGAATTGCGTGCACAATGCCCTTCTTGGCGATGCGGCAGTGGTAGATGCCAAGGGGGAGGGAGAAGGAGGGTTGTTCCAATAGAGGGTGGCCTGGATCCGAAAGGCGGGACTAGCGCTACGCCTTGAAATGAGCCCTGACCACGTGTCGGCAAAGGCCCTGTCGGCTGCCAAACAACACAACCGACCGGGTCCGACCAACCCTGAACCCAGCACCATCTCCACGCCGGCCCTTACCCACCAACCTAGGAGAACGTCATTGTAGCTGTAACTGTCCAGCAAGCGTGCAGCTCACACGCATCCTGGATGGCCCACCGAACATATGCCAGCAGCCAGCATCATGGTAGAACGCAGGCCAAGCAGTACAACGCACCACACCGCTACCCCGGCCAATCATCTCGACCCCTCCAACGCCCTGCTGCACCTTGGTCGTCAGACTACATCTCCGAGCCAGTGTACTCGGACTCGGACGACTACATCAACTCGCAGGATCCAGAACCGGCCCCAAGCCCTGCACGGTATCATGAAAGGCCCTCTCCGATGACTTCGCCGTACAGCCCCCGGGAAAGAGGGTCTAATAGCAAGCCATCATATTACACAACTCCCCCGCGTCGCCGGCAACAATGGCCCGCGCAGTACCAGACCCCTTCCCCTAGTTCCGATTATATTGCACAGTCAGCCCGGACAGAAGATGATTATATTGCCACGCCGGCGAGTCGTATGCCCGGCGCCTTTGTAGACGACGATGACGACGACAAAACCCCAGAGTACACCAGTGGATACACCCAATATCGACCCAACGATAGCTCACCGCTCCAACGCTCTGCCCCTAAATCCTATGCCCCAGAGAGTCCCCCAGTTCGACGCCGTGCTGCTCCCAAAGACTACGACAATGATCCACCGCGGCAGCATCGTCGTCATCGCGACTCCGACCTGACCAGCAGCAACTGGGACCGCAAGCACGACACAGCGCGGACCCGGAGCCGCAGCCGTAGCCGCAGCCGCCCCAAGCACCTCCAACCGCATGAACTCGACAATTTCCACGAAGCAAGGCAATTTCTCGAGCGCTTCCGCGCCCTCGACATCAAGCGCCCTCACCCCACCAGCCCCTATTCAAGCGACGAGGACCGCGACGATGCCCGCAGCCTGCGCTCCCGCCGCAGCAGTGTATCTAGGGAACGCCCTGCAACATACATTTCCTCGCGCCGAAACAGTAGCAATGCAAAGAGCAAGCGCCTCGAGGCCGCCAGTGACGCATCCGTAGCTTGGTACCGCAGCTCCCACCGCTACAAAGACGACGAATATGCTTCCTCTCCTGAGCCCGGAACCGGGTTCAGCCAGCCACCCCGCCAAAGCCGACTTGACCGTTATGAAAGACGCCCAAGCTACAAGCTACTTACTCGAGACACTGCCGCACAATACTCTGATGCCGATTCGCTAGGTCGCGACCCATCAACCACGCGCTCCTACCTTTCCCGTCCCCCCTCCACAACCCCATCTTACATCTCTCGATCTCGCTCTCGCTCTCGTGCCCCATCCACCGCCCCCTCATACGTCTCCCCTTCCCCTTCCCCTGCTAGAACTCGAGCGAGATCCCCACCTTCCTTCAGCCGCACAGTAACCACCACCCACCGCCGTTCCTCCTCCAGCTCCGACAACGGGATCGGCGAGGGAAGCGATTACCTTCCTAGCGACGACGACGTGGAAGAAGATGCTGCAAGACGCCATTTTTCAGACGACGACAAGTACCAACCGAGAGCGGTGTATAGTGACGATAATGGCGTGGGCGAGGGAAGCGATTACGTCTCTAGTGATGAAGATGAAGTCGTGCATCGACAGGGGAGGTATGCGCGGGGGAAAATGTATAGTGCACGTGAGCGTGTGAGAGAGGAAGATGAGGAAGAAGAGCATAGTTATAGTAAGGGGTGGGGTGTCGGGAATAGGGGCGAGCCCACGGGAGGCAGGCGACGTTGGGAAGGTGGAGTGGGGATATAAATGATGATGATGATGATCTTCTTTTTGAGCTTTTTTTTTCTTTCTGTTCTGCATAAGGGATTTTTTTTGGATTTAGCGATGAAGATAACGAGTAATGAACCTTTTCTTAATCGGATGCCTCCTGAGCAAGAAACTCGATATTGATGATGTTTTTTTTCATTTTTTTTTCATACACACACTCTTTCTCTTTCTCTCCCTCTCTCTCTTGCTTAATCTCACGGTATTCATGTCCATTTCCCCCCCCCTTCTATGGCTTCTTTTTTTCTTTCTTTCTTTCCCCAACCTTCATACACGTACAATGCTGCCTCGCAGATGGAAAGTTCTAAACGTTTGAATGGTATAATATGATACAATGCTTTCCTTTTCATCCCATGTATTCGTTCATCTTAAGCGGTAGTAGTAGTAGTAGCAGTCGCCTCGGCACCAGCAGCAGCAACATCAGCCGCCGCGGCGAGAACCTCCTGAGGCTGAAGTTCAGCAGTAGTCATTGGACCTTCCGGCCAGGGTTTACCCAGGGCATCTTGAACGCGGATGATTTGGTTTTTGGGACCAGGTACGCAACCTACCATTGTTGTTAGTGACTCGAATCAATCAAACGCAGCGATGTCCTTCCCCACCATCTCCAAAAAAAAGGGGGGGGGAAGAAAACATACCAGTAACAACCACAATTCCATTCGCCTCATCTACCCTCAATACCCTCAGATTCTTCACCGTAACACTCTCATTCCCCATATTCCCCGGCATACGCTTACCAGGCAAAACACGAGAACCGGAGCCTTGAGATCCACCTGCAGATCCCATACCGCGATGCATGAGCGATTGACCGTGCGAGGCGGGTTGACCGCCAAAACCATGTCGTTTCATACCCTAAGTCCTCCTCATTAGCCAATTTCCCTTCTTCTACTTCTTCTACTTCTTCTTCTTTCTCTCAAGCCACACAAAATAATGCTCTGACGAACAATATACGAAGAAGAAGAAGAGAAAAAAAACTTACACCAGCAAACCCCATCCCCCTCCCTACTCCCTTAACATCCACCCACTGTCCCTCGCGAAACCACCCCGCACCCACACTCTCGCCCACCCCAACTTGCAACCCTTCCTCCCCTTTGACTTTAAACTCGGCAACCCACCTCTTTGGCGCGACCCCCGCCCCCGCAAAATGCCCCAGCATAGGCCTGCTTACATTGCGCGCTTCCTTTTGGCCCGCACCAATCTGCACAGCCCAGTACCCATGCGTGTCCCGCCGCTTGTGCGCAACGACTTGGTTGCGGTCGAATTGCAGGACTGTGGCTGCGGTGCGGGCGCCCGTGGTGGTGTCGTAGAGCGATGTCATGCCCTTTTTTATAGCGAGTAAGCCTGTTCGTAACGGGGTGCTGTGGGCTTTGCGCTCGAGGGCTGCGGACGAGGTGCTGGTTAAGGCGGGCTTGGCGGGATGGTGGGCGAAGCGGTCGGGTTTGGGGGAAAAGGTGGATTTGATGGTGCGGATCGAGGTGTATGCGAGGGATGTCTGGGTCGTGGTTTGCTGTTGCTGGAGGAGATGTCGCGCTGTTGTGCAGGGAATGAGGAATTGGGGGGGTGGGAGACCCCGATTTAGAGGTATCCTTGGTGGCATTGTTGTGGTTGTTGTTTTGGCAGGAATGCCTCGAGCTGGGGGTGGTGGTGGTGGTGCACTGCGATTGATGATGTTCGCCGCGGGCATTTTGCAAACCCGCGCGCGGGCCTCTCTCTCTGAGAAATCGGGCGCACGGATCACGTTACGCACGTGAAGCAAGCGTTCAGCCTCCCGACAATACGCTAAACCAGTGCGTTCAGTCATTCCAGCCTAGTGGCTGCTTACGAGTCATGCATGGTCATACGCACACGTCTGTTTTGAGAGAGAGAGAGAGAGAGAGAGCAATTGAGGAGACGAGTATATTTTTGGTGCGTTTTTGAGCAATGCCCTGTCCAGCAGGCTTGGTACCAAGATACAATACGAGACGTCACAAGTCAGATACCGCCCGTTGCCCTACGTACACTATGTACCATCGACTCGCCTCACATCCCAAAACCCACAAAGAAAAACACAAGAACGCGTAGCAATGGGTATCCTCCGGTTTGTGAAACGCCGATAACTCCAGGCACCCCCACGTGGTGGTGCGTAATGTGACATTAAAGTCATTCGTGAAATGCGCTGAAGGCGCTCAGCGTCTTTACAGTACGACGTCAGTTGCTTGACAAGCAGCCGAGACAAGTAACCGAGTATCTCGGATTCATTCTTTGATGAATCAAAGTCAATTAGGAAGTATATTAGCAGGGTTGCCCTGGGCCACGCAGTTAGGGGGCAGCGTCTGTCAGAAGTCAGTGTTTGTACTGCAAATCATCGTGGGCTGAGACATACGTGAGAGACTACCGAGCCTGGGCGCACAATGGTGTTTTCGCCAATCTTGACCCCTGCCTCGATTACGCAGTTGTCACCAATGTAAACATTTTCGCCAATGTGCACCTCCTGTGCAATCTCTGTTCCGTTGCTGCCCTTGAGCGACTTGTTGTCGGTCGGCGTCTTCAGTGTCTGTATTGTGACCCTGGCGCCTATCTTGGTATTTCTCCCAATGCATATCCTCGCAGAGTCGTGGAGGTGACAATCGGAACCAATAACAACATTCTCGGCAATGTTCAGGTGATACCCGTAATCGCAGGTAAACGGCGCAGCAACAAAGACGTTGCTGCCCAAGTGGCTAATGACATCGTTGGCGTCTTTCCTGGGTGGAATCCATCTGGCTGCCAGAATACTCTTGAAGAGACCCTCCCTTGTCTGCTTTGAGAATTGGTTTGAGGCATAGGCTGTGTTATTGAAGTTTTGCTGAGCCCCCATGCACTGGTGGCGTTCGTCCATTAGGATCCTATCAAAAGGGAGAAAGGGTTCGCCTGCAAGCATCTTGTCTTTTTCGGATTTGTACAGCATCGAGGAAGCCGGTGGAAAGCGAACTGGTGACTGTGCAGGAGGTATACTAGTGGACAATGGCGGAGGGGGACGAGAATGCTGGTGGGCCACATGATGTTGCTGCGGTGGTTGTACCACAGCCTTGGAAGCTCTGTATGTTTGTCAGCAAACATTCAGATATTTCTGGAATATGGTAGAAAAGCACAATCAAGCTGTGCAAGCATTCCAACAAACAACCTAGAGTGATGACCACTTACAGGACGGGTGCAGGTGCAGGCGCAGGTGCGGGTACAGGACTGCCGGTAGGGATATGGCTCATAGTGTGAGGAGTGTGGTGGTAGACACGAGAGTTGTGTTGATGAAGTGGCTGTTGTAGTGGGGGTGGTGGTTGGTTTTCGTGACTTAGGTGTCTCTCGTGTTGACTTGGTGGAGGTTGTCCATACTGCACAGGAGCTGATGGAGGGCCCTCTGGTTGGTAAGGTGCTCGAACTGGCGGTGGTGGCGGTGGTGTCGGCTCGGGCCAGTTGTTCCATGGTTTGCGGTCCTGGCCGTTTGCTGAGCGAATTTCTGGTGGTGGATAAGCGGCTTCAGTAGAGTGAGGCGCGCAATGTGGGATGTGAGGTCGACTGCAGCCTGGACAGGTTGGTATGGCAGAAAGCCTCTCCTTTGCTTGCAGAGCAGGCGGGGCTTTTGCAGGGCCATTCTTTGTCCATGGCACCTTGTTGGCATAGCCTTCACAGACAAAGCCACCTCGAGTGCAGTTGTTGCCTGTTGAGTAAGGTCAGATTGATGTCAGGGGTGGATTGGTAAAAAAAACAATGGTTATGACTAACACTCTGGTTTTGCTTCATCACACTTCTTCTTTCGCCTCCTGCAAGTGCCACAGCCAGTTTTGGTGCGATTGGCAAATTGCTACAGACAGTCAGCTGGTGCCTAAGGAATGGGGGCTGAATTGCTTACCCTTTTTCGCTTCTTCAGCTCAACTTGAACACCAGCGCGGGTGACTTCAGTGGCGCTCGTGTCATCGAGCTCAGCTTCGCCTGCGCTGCCCATGCGAGCATGCGAGTCTGACGAGATGCTGGGGCGGACGGGCTCAGCAGGACGTGGATCCCGGTGGTCAAAGTGCTGGTGGCCGGTGTGAGGCAGCTCGCGGGGCTCCGTCTGCCAGCGTCGCTCGGCATCGGGACGGCCCAGTGGCGGAAGACTCTGCTGCGGGGGTGCATCCATGGTGGTGAGCGTCTCGCGGCTCATGGGATGGAAAGGATGTGGCAGTTGGCGTGAACTGGCGACCAAATCGCCCGGACTCGGACGAGCGATATTGTCTTCTTCCGAGGCAGACCGCCTGCGCTTGTTGACGCTTTCGGGGGATCTGTCTCTGCTGCTGACGGTAGAGGGGCTGGTGTCACTTCTGGGAGAGTGGTAGCTGGTTTCTTGGCCCCGCGAGGCCGGACTCCAGGTGGAAGATTTGGCAACAATTGGTGGTTTTTGTTCGTCGGTGGGGCTCACAGACGAGGGACCATTGACCGATGTAAAGGCAGGCCCATGGGGAGCGGTGTTAAAGGCAGGCATATGTAGCACGGTCGACATGTCCGGGGGCGCAATATCAAATTTGGCCGAAGGAACTTGATCAAGTTTCGAGACGGTGGAAAAAGACTACTGTGATGGGGACGTAGAGAGGCGAGCCACCATGGCACGGCCGCTGTGCTGGCGGGCAGTGTGTATCGTGGTGCACAATGCCGGCACTTGGTTGATGGGCAATGGGACGGAGAGATGTTTCTTTGGTGGTGTTGATCAGTTGGCGGGATAGGTAGGTAGTCGAGAGACAGAGACAGAGACAGACAGAGAGAGAGAGAGAGAGAGAGAGTTGAGAAGGCGATGGCGGCGGATGGATGGATGGGGGTGGTGGCGGGACGTGCCCGTGATAGTGGCAGGTGTGATGGCGGGGAGGGAGGGGGGGTTGTCAAGTAGTGGCAGTTGAGCGGGAGCAGTAATGATGATGGTCCAGAGGGCGGGAGGGATGTAGCAGGTTTGGATGGAGGAGCGGCTCCTTGGATGGAGCTAGCTAGCAGAGCCACGGGAGCTGGTGCGCCTTTTCCATGGCGGGAACGAGAGTGAGTATAAGGCGCTGGCGCTGGGCGGAAGTGGGAGGGCTGCTGCCAGCGGATGAGCAACAGGCCTAGCAGCAAGCAGGCAGGCAGGCTTGCAGGCTTGCAACAGAGGGCGGCTGTTCGCTCCTTGTGCTGGTGGCCCGGCCAGGATGGAAGGCACCACCCCCGGTCGGGTCTTTGTCATTGGCCCGACATGCAGATGCCCCTGCTCCCCGCGTTTATCTGCCCACCCGGGCGGCGAGGAAGAGAGCAGTGAGAAGCGCACAGAGGGTCCCGAGACGCGGTTTTCGCGATATCTGGGGAATATAGACCCTGCATTGTGGTCTCTCCCACGTTTTTTTGGCGGAAAAGTCGCGTCTACAGCCCTACAGCCGTTTCGTGGGTGTAGAGGAGGGTAGAGCTGGTGGAGAGGCCGCAAGGGTGGCACAGATGGATCATCGACCAAAGCGGCTAGGCGCCGGGCAGGACCCACTGCACCGCCCAGTCTGGCTGTGATTGGTGTGGATGGGTGGGGCGGGCTCAAACGCGCGACAATACCGCATAGCCGCGGCCAACGCCCGCAAGACGGGCCATATGTAAGTAGCCATGTACGTCCTTTGTGTGTATGCATGGGCTGGATGTGTGCATGTCATGTCAGTACACGACATTGGCCCTCGGGCGTGTTGGCTGCGGGCTGCGGGCTGCGGGCTGCGGGCTGCGGGCTGTTGGCCATGGGCTGTTGGCTGAGAGGGGCCTGCTCCGGGCTGCTACTCGGGCTGCTAC